TTGTGTGTGTGTGAGAAAGACAGATAGAGAGACGAGGGAGGGAGTGCAATGCCAGTGCCTCGTGGATTTCGAACCTAATAATAGATATCGCAATAAGGTCAGTGTTGTTTACCGAGTTAACATGGCGATGCCTTGTCGGCTTTGTCGCTTCTATTTATTATAATATTTAATGAACGAACAGGGATTCTACAAGGAAAGTACTTCATCAATGTTAGAGAAATATTTTGTTTTGTTAAATGGGATAGATTTATTTTTGAAATAATCACATATGGTACAGATATCAGTGATGGGAGGCGTCTTGGCTTTCATAGCATGATATCTCTTATAACAAGAGCACGTTATGGTATTCGGATATCATTATAGTAATTTATACCAACACTATATTCGGAATTCATTATTTTCAATAAATCTCTCCTACCTTCCATGGCAACATGATTCTGGTACCAAAAGACTGGTCCTTATCTTATCACGCAGTCGTAGATATAACGGCATAGTTAAAGGCCCATACCACAGTTTCCATGTACAATACATGTATATATTAGCAACCAGCGATTTTGAATAGGCAGAACAGAGCTAAATGAATCATATCGTCGTGCGAGCCAGAACGAAAAGTAAAAGTGTACAGCATTATCGCCTTTTCCCATTCATCAGGGGAAGATGTAAGAGTGAGTGAGTGAGTGAGTTTGGTTTCACGCCACTTTTAGCAATATTCCAGAAATATCACGACGGGGGACACAGAAATGGGCTTCACACATTGTACCCATGTGGGGAATCAAACTCAGGTCTTCAGCGTGACGATCGGACACTCTAACCTTTAGGCTACCCCACCGCCCCCTGAAGTAGCCCTGGACCGCTATTGGAAACAAAGTAGGTGCTTCATGCCTCGACAGATTTACCTTAGTTATTGTTGTATATATTGTTTACAGTTTTAAATTAACTTTTCACTAACATACGGCAACAGTTAAGTCATCAGTTAAATTATTTACCATTAAACTATAGTTTAAGCAAGTGTAATGGGCAATCTGTTTCAATTTCTCTTCCGAATATGTTTTCCCTAAACAAATTCGTGCAGTGACAACGCCGATCGAATCTTTAACAAACAGCCTGTATCTGATAAAAGGCGAATTATTACACCAACAGACGGTTAACCAGGGCAGACTTCACGTTTACCAGTATCTTTCGGACCAAAGACTGGTTGGTGAATGGTATATAAACTGATTGTGTACTCTTCTTCTGTATTACCCTTTATTTAAATATTTATTTAAATGTTCATCTTAATTTCAGTATACATGTAGAATGTCTATTCCCTATACTTCAATACTTCCCAAAAGGAATATACTATCAAAAGGAAACGCATAGGCGTTTTGTATTTTAAAAACATATATCAATTACCTATCGTGTTCAAACAATTGACAAAATATGTAACAACAGTGTTGATAACATGATTTTACACAATTGCACAAGTAAACAATCGGCCTTACTTGAAAATGTTGATTTTGATAAGATTTCTTACAAGGATTAAAAAGGCATCACCACAACGCAACAGAAATCACCTTCCAGTTGAAATTGTGCAGCAAAGAGCATGCACTGTCTGGCTATAAAAATCCTGATTACTTTTGGAAATCGGCATTCGTTTTGAAGAGTTTCAATTTCAAATCACTACGAAACGTCTTGACGCTGCGACAGGGAACATCGCTATTGAAAGAATGCAGGCTGAAGATGACCAATCTTCTGTTGCCAGGCGTCTGAATGTTAATCTGAGCACGATATCACGGCTAACAGCTCGTTACAACCAAACAGGTATAACAAATGACTCTCACCGTACACGCAGACCTCGAGTCACCACTGTAGCCCAAGATCGGTACATCCGGGTACTACATTTGCGTGATCGTACTGCCACGGGTGAGAGCACAGCAGCCAGGGTGCCTGGACTTCGGAGGATATCCGGTCAAACTGTACGGAACAGGTTGAGAGAGATTGGACTGAGAGCCAGGGCCTAGATTTTCGAAGCTCTCTTAGCGCTAAGATAGTCGTAAGTTAATGTTATAATGTATGGCACTTACGACTATCTTAGCGCTAAGAGAGCTTCGAAAATCTAGGCCCAGGAGATCCGACGTCGGGGCCGGTCTACGTCATCACCATGGCGCTCAGCGTCTCTGTTGTCTAAAAGTATCTACTTGGTTGTATAGATATTTCCTTCTTCTAAACTGATGCAAAAATTCATTTCCTAAAGTCTATTTGTGGACGAGTTATACATGTTTGGAAATACAACATTTTCGCAACAGATTTCTGGGTTATGTGTTTCTTTTTTTTTTGAATAGTATATAACTCTATTGGATGTCGGCATGATACTGCTTGTAGTTAGCACTACGTATTCATCATATATACAATCCATTTCAATAACATTTATAATTTACATATCACATATAAACATACGTGTAATTCCAAAGTTAACAGATGTTACATTTGATCATTTCCTAAATGGCATTGTGTATTCACGGCTAAATCGAAGCCGTGCCAATTTACGCGTATCAGAGGGCTCCACAAAAGTACGTGAAGTAGTGAGAGTGAGTGGGTTTAGTTTTACGCCGCACTCAGCAATATTCCAGCTATATGGCGGCGATCTGTAAATAATTGAGTCTGCACCAAACAATCCAGTGATCAACAGCATGAGCAGCGATCTACGCAATTGGGATACGATGGCATGTGTCAGCCAAGTCAGCGAGCCTGACCACACGATCCCGTTAGTCGACTCTTATGACAAGCATGGGTTACTGGAGATCAGATCCATCCCGGATCTTAGCGGATAGTACATGAAGTAGAACCAGTTGTCCGGCTTCCATTTTTGTGGAAGCCGTGGTTGTTGCGAGGGATGGGACTCAACCAAAATTAACTTTTGTAATCCCACATATAGCATATGTTACATTTGACCACTTTCTAAATCACATGGTGTATTCAACCTGTCAGTTGTTTACGTGTGGAGGAGGTTGAGGTACCCTGGCACGTGTGCCTCCACATCGTATTGTCCAACAGCTTTAAAGACGTTGTGAGTATGGTTTTACGCCACTCTTAGCAATATTCCAGTAATATCACAGCGGGGAACACCAGAAATGGGCTCCACACATTGTACCTATGTGGGGGGAATGGAACCCAGGTCTTCAGGGTGACAAGCGGACGCTTTAACCACTAGGCTACCCAACCGCTTTAACAAAGTACCACACAAGCGTGACGATTCATAGACTCATTCACATGAAATAATCAGAATCGTAGAGTGGTTGCTGATTATTGCAGAAATGTGGAATACCAGTTTTACTTCCTAATTGCAATGAGGGCTGATAACTGTGGAATGATGTATTCTATCAACAATTTCTGAAATATATCGTTCAATAAAGTATGTTATAGAATTGGGGGGATACGCGAGGTGTAAATATTGGAGTAAATTGTGAAAACGACACATAATTGGTTCAACTATTTATTTACAGGATATATACGCATGTAAATTGTTTAATGGTTTACAATCAAATCGAATAGTATCAGTACATTTCAGGTAAACTGGTAACGAAGGCAGGCGTCTAAAACATTGTTATGCACAACAAAGAAAACGAAAAAACATAGCTAAAATAATATATATTATTAAAGGTTCATACATAAAACATTTTAAAAAAAAGTAACACAGGCCAGTGTCTAAACATACTGTAACAACAACAATATATGGGTACTGGCACTGCACAAATATATTAGAATGTTGATACACATTGGCTCCATATAATTATTATGCATAACAAGGTTAAACGAAAATAATTTCTTTGGTTTCTTACTTCACGTAATTATTCACAATGAAACTAATTAAAACACCTCATGGGCACATCGTGTGAAGCCCATTTCTGGTGTCCCCCGCCGTGATATTGCCGGAATATTGCTGAAAGCGGCGTAAAACTAACCTCACTCACTCACTCATTCCAACACTAAAGTCCTGGTCTGTACAAACAAACTGATCTCAATGTGCAAGCCGTCAGCCACTTAGAATCTAACATCCCTAACTTTGTAGTATTGGTTGTCGAAAACAAGTACTAGTGTCTATATGTTTCACCAGAGCGTCTATATTCTTTGTCCCTTTCGCTCCTTCTCAAACACTAAAATATTTCATAAGACATTGTATCTTCATCACTGTTGAGAACGGCCTCGTCCCTCAAGTATCCTGTATAGTCCATCAAGCTCCGCTGTGATAAACTCGAATTAAGGCTGTGAAGCGAAAGACGTCTTTGAGAATTTGCAAATACGACTTCTCCTCCTCCTGACACAGTGTCCAATGACGGCCACGAACCCGTACGTGTAAAATGTAAATTTCCAGTCCATGATGGGGGTTTCCGTTTCGGGGCATTCTAAAGGCAAACCAGTTCACAGCATAACACCAACCGATCAGGCTTTGTCCAACACACACACACACAGCAGAAGGTAAATGTTTCAGGGGAGGAGTTCCTGATAAAACTGAGCGTGAATCATCCACACGAAAACCTTTTCAACGGATCAGATAAGGGGCAACCCAAACTATTCTTATTGGTGGTGACAGTCAGACTTTAAAAACACTGAAGGTACATGCGACAAAAGCAATCGACTTAAGTATTCTCAATTCTCGCAACTCCGATCATTCAGATTCTTCATTACTATTATTTTCTTATCTTTCGTTTGAGTATTGTCCAATATGATAAACGTTGTTATATCAGCAGTTATTTTGTACAGGTGCAAATGAGAAAACTTTATGATAAGTCCCAAAAGAAGCATACATCCTCTCCATGCGATAGAATAAACTCTCTTAAACTTTGGTGGGAATTGGGTTGATTGGTTGGTTGGTTTTTTAACGCCGCACTCAGCAATATTCCAGCTATATGGCGGCGGTCTTTAGATAATCGAGTCTAGACCAGACAATCCAGTGATCAACAACATGAGCATTGATCTACTCAAATTGGATACGATGACATGTGTCAACCAAGTCAGCGAACCTGACCACCCGATCCCGTTAATCGCCTTTTACGACAAGCATGGGATGCTGAAGAACAATTCTAACCCGGATCTTCACGAGTCGGTAAACATATTTTATTCAATTAAGAAACGGATTGGGCACAAGTTATCCAACTTAAATAAGCCCTCTCCACATAGTTACAAGTGTATATTACAAAAAGTTCAACAAGAGGCAGACAAAGGGTATAGATATGTACAGACAGAGTTATTTAAATCGTTTAGAGTTATGGATGTAGATATGTACACTTTTAAAACATTCTGATTTTCACTAAGCGAGAGACCTGCATTGCCATTTAAGATGAGATTAATATCAATACATGCTCTATTATTCACTATATTTTCTAAAGAGGTTAACATTTGTTCTCTTTGAATTATATATAATGGACATTCAAGAAAATAATGAAAAGCATTTTCACAATTATGGCCACACTGACAAAGTGCATCATTTCTAACATTAATTCTGAATAAATCATAATTAAGTGTACTTGTCATATATCTTAATCTTGTATGCAAAACATTTAGTTTCCTTTTCCCATATGAGAAATATACGGGTGCACATTTTTGTTTCACATGAACTGCAGTTTTAAAAGACACAACAGATTTACAGTTTCTGATAGCTAAGGGGATGTTATTCCACAGTTTAATTGTTGATGGAAAAAAGGATAGAGTCGAATATCGTAGTCTTGTACAGGGTTGAGTGTAATTACTGGAGTTTCTTAATTCATAATTTGTTCGACTACCTACTACAGGAGGGAGTAAATCATAAAGAAAACTTGGAGCAAGGCCTGTATGTATCTTATAAAATAACGATAATTTTTCACCCTTCTTCTCTCAGATAGTAAATCCCATCCCGTTTCAAAGTATAATGATCTAGAAGAAGCATATCTCTGCAGACCAGTAACTATACGAGCCGCTTCAAGTTGTAACTTTTCTAATCTATTAGATTCTTCAATAGAACACCCGTCCCATACTTCAGATGCGTACTCGAAATGTGGTCTTATGAATACAGTATATATGCTTGACAATGTTGTTCTATTCAGGAGAAACTTTAACTTTCGAAATGCTCCAATCATTTTAGAAGTCTTTTTAACAATACTTTCAATATGATGGTGCCAACCCCCATTACATGAAAATGTTAGTCCCAAATGTTTATGAAAGTCAACTGGTTTTACATGACAATTGTCAAATTTCAAATTAATGTCTGTTTGGCCATCTTTCGTCGTAAATAGCATAGCTTCCGTTTTGTCCGGATTATAAGAAATTAGCCAGTCCTTTGCCCAATTACATAATATTTGTAGATTTTCTTTCATTATTCTTTCCATCAACTGCTTTTCTTTTGACAAGGCTCCCAGTGACGTGTCGTCAGCGAAAAGCCGAGTTATACAATGTAGTTTATCTGCTATCTCATTTACATACACAATGAAAAGAAAGGGACCTAAAACTGATCCCTGTGGAACTCCTGCTTTTAAAACCAAAGGCTTAGATAACGAGCCGTGAACAGAAACTGATTGATTGCGACCACTTACATAACTATCAAACCAATCAAGTAACTTTCCACTTACTCCGTACCTCTCCAATTTAAGCATAAGCCCTCTGTGCCAAACTCTATCAAAGGCCTTAGATACATCGCAAAAGACCATACAATAGTGTTCTTTGTTATCTAGTGATATACAGATTTGGTTATAAATTTCAACAAGTTGTTGTACAGTAGAGTGGCCTCTCCGGAATCCACATTGATATTTATATAACAAATCATTTGAAATGAAGTAATTGTAAATATGTTTAAATACAACTCTTTCAAACATCTTCCCAACACAACTTATAAGTGAAATAGGGCGATAATTTGATACAATTGAGTGATCACCCTTCTTGAATAGGGGCATAACATTTGCATATTTCCATTGGCTAGGATATGCTGATAAATTAAGTGACATGTTAAATAATATGCACAGTACTGGGCTTATAGACTCGACCGTTTTTCTAAGTAACTGATGACTAATCTGGTCTGGTCCAGCAGCTTTCTTGAGAGGTAGACAGTTAATTATGTCGGCATCTGAATAAGCTGATGGACTTTCCTCAATAACACTTCTTTTTAGAGCAGGAATAGGAAACAGGGAAACAGGTCCTCCATATCTTCAAAGATAGTGACAATAGAACCTTGCACAGTAACTGGAACTTCGGAAATGTTGCTTGTAATGTTAGCAATGACAGTTCCACGGAGAGTCTCTGTCATCGTGAAGTCACAATGGTATTCCTTTTGAAGAATTAACATTTGGACAATTGTGTTTTTCTGAGCAATGGCATCAAAAGATGTCTTCCCCTTCAACTTTCTGGTTCGTTCAGTCTTTTTCCCATCTTCATTTATTACAATTTCCTCGTTGAAATGAGACGCTGTAGCCCGAATCTTCTTAGGAACAGTGAGATTTATATCCCCTGTATTTCCCCGAGTAAATCCCCTTTCAAGAGTTGTAGTAGCAGTAGAAGTTGATGTTTCACTGGCCTTGAACTCTTGATGTTGGTTTTTCTTTGTATGATTCTCGAAGCTTGTTGTAAGTAGCACCTGTGGGGCTGGATCTTTGCCATACTTCTTGTTCTCAAAATGAACAAAAGACGAGGTAAAGTTCAGCTTCTTCCATATTATATCCATACGAACATCTTTAGCCTCAGGTTTTGTTACTTTGTAGTTCTTCGTTGCCCATTCTTCGACAATGTCAAGAAGGTCTGGCACAACTGGAGACCTGAATAAAAAAACGGAATCTTATGAACTATTTTTGTACAACCTAAACATCCCAAACTGTGGATAATTCAAATTAAGTGATAACGAAATAACAGCAATCACGGTATGTCACTTAGGAAATCATGAAAGAAAGTTTAATGTGAGATTTCGAGATAGGAAACTCGAAATAAGGTCCAAACTTTGGACCAAGAATCGGTGTACATATCATGATGCCTGTCTGATACCATAACTTTTGGTTCGGGAAACTACAACCTGACTACATCTCAAACCCTAATGAAAGACCCTCGCCCCAAAAAGGGAATATGTATGGATTATCTGCCAAAACACTCATGCAAAGAAACAACCCTGAGCGGGTCAGGAAACACGCCCCGTTTCCTCAACACGTGGCTATGACATACTCAGATTCGTACAGTACCTCTACTTCAAACTTGAGATATTTCGTTTGTAAAGTTTTTGCCATTTGCTTTATGAGATATACTCAGAAGAAACGCCTGTAATGACATGTTTTCTACATACCTTGCACTTCCAGTTTGCTTCGTTGTTGAATCCTTACTAGCCTTTTCTTCCATAGTGTGTCAATCTGTAAAGTAAATAGTTGAATCAAATTTGACGAAGAACCGAATCCGAGATGCGTTGTTTATACTGCACCACGACTGGGACTGGGCTTTAAATAATGCACTGAACGGAGCAGAGTCTAGTGGAAATTCTGCCACGTCAGTGAGTATTTTAAAATCAACCAAGGAACAACGAAAACTGTGGAAATACCAGTACTACTATAGAGATGATTATTGAACGCAAAATCCATTGTTCAGTGTTGCCTTACCACCTGTTTCGACACACCTCAGCTGTTGTGCAATACAAATTCAACAATGAAAATGAGCTCAAGGCACCAGTGACACATGAGAGAAAGTCAATGGTTATAGGGCTAAAGAATGTTGTCATGTGTGTACATCGTATGCGTGCCGGTTCATTGCAATGTAGTCCATTTTCAGTGGGTTACTGTGATATTGTTGAAATTGCCAGTCGGGCAAAGAATGGAATATTACGTCGCGTTCGCGTTTAAGCTAATTATAATTCACGTACATATGTGTTTGTGTGTGTGTGTGAGATCAGCTTTACGCCGCACCCAGCAACTTTCCAGCTGCATGGCGGCGGTCTGTAAATAATCGAGTCAGGACCAGACAATCCAGTGATCAACAGCATGAGTCATAGAGTCTGACTGCCCGATCCCGTTAGTCGCCTCTTACCGCAAGTATGGGTTACTAAAGACCAATTCTAAACCGGATCTTCACGGGTCTCACGTAAATAGCTACGTGCATGAACACTCACTCACTCACCCACCCACCCACCCACCCACCCACTCACTCACTCACTCATTTGACTGTACAAGTCACCAAGTTGTGCAGTAAGGCGACTACTCATTCCTCCCCAGCGCTTCTTATTACCTTTCATTAAGCAGCTAGTATTTTACCTACACTATGACAGATGAATCAGATTATTCTGCGATTCTATGTACTGACATTCCTGCATCGGGGTGAACGTATCTGTGAGTGTTTTGATGCCAATTTCCAGGATGTTTATGAATGTCACCAGAACTACTATTTACTAAAGCAATGAATTATTTTTCATACAAGGCAAGCCAACACTGGATTATTGTCCATGTTCTACAGTTTCTCATAAATAAAAGAAACACAAAGACCTTTACGACATTCTCAACAAAATATTGCTGAAAGCAGACTCGATTGTACAACAATGAATCACTTTCAAATATTGCTCCTACAAGGTGTTCGGGTAAGGGGGAAAGTTTCCTGCCCAACGGGTCGACTGCACTTTACGGGTCCCCGGAAGTTTAGACTACATGACATGCGCAGAAGCCATATTTACATCGAAGCGAGCACTAACGCTGACGCATACGGTTAGCAAAACAACCCTGCGCGCCGCTATTTTTGTCATAACAACATCGCTGTTTTGGTCCATTTTTTGTCATCAAATCGCTGTTTTGGTATTCAATTACCCTTGGATACTAATCGATACAATAAACAAAACAGGTAAGTTAACATGATGTAGCAGAGCGTGATAACAAATATCGAAACGCTTCACTTACCTTATATTACAAGAACAAATCTGCGCCTCAATTGAATTGACTTACCTCACAAGAACAAATCCGCACTTGAATTAAATACATCGGGTACATCATGTGAGCTTTCATTTTGGGGGATGTCATTTTCTTTATTTCCAGTTTCAACTATTTTAAAATATTGATGGGTTTTTTTGGGGTCAAATACACGGCGGATAAAAGTAAGAAATGTAACGAAAGGATCATCAGAACAACGTAAATATTTCTTCCTCACAATGTACTCAACAAAATAACTATCATACAATCCTTTCGTAGTTCCATACCTGGGCAGGGACGCTTTCACCGCTCTCCACGTACTCTCAATTTTATTAGTGCACGCACCATTCTCTGCATTCACAAATTCCTTACTATGATTCACAGTCACATGCTCGTATCCCATCTCATTCAGCCTAGCATACGCCTTCCAACAATCAGAATGAATAATCGATCCCGGTCGCACCCACTTTCTCAGCACATCAAAAGGGTATCTGCATCACGCTTCTCCACAACTTCCAAAACATCCGGTTACTTTCTTTCTCGATACCCCCAAACACCCACACACCATCCACTCGCCTTCCTCGGTGAAACTTACGCTTCCCAAACTTACTCTCATCAATCTCAACTTCAATCCCTGGCCCACCTATCATCTCATTCTCCTCTTCCATCACAAACAAACACACATCTCTACAATAATTAAACCAATCAACCAAAGTGTGGTCAGACCCCAGACGCAACTGCACTCTCACAAAATTCTCTCTCACTTGATAAACCCAATAAAATGTCAATTTCATAATTTCACTAACGGACAAATGAGACTTAAAAAACCAAGAATCACGCCTTGCTACAATTTTATGATTGCATATTTTATTTGAACAACGCCACACATAACCCTCACTCCGACTCGAATCCTTTCGCTTTCCTATACTCCCACTGTCACACTTCACACACTTCCCACTGAAATTTCCAATCAAACCAAACGCTTCCAACCAATCCATCAACTTTCTCTCATCTCTACACAGCTCATACAAATCATCATACACCATTCTCCTTACAGCCATAGCTAAGCAAGTCAAATAAGCAAGATTGAAATCAGGCGACAAGCAAAATACAACTCACCAACCGTGCGCGTTAAAGTTGTGGCAGTCGTAGTAACCCACTACCTTATTTGGAACATTCGACACGTGCGTCCACAATTGACCAATCAAATAAAAGGAACGTCATCGGGATTTCCCCTTGATTACTAACGATTGGATTGATGTTTTGGAGCATTACTAAAATTCGTGTTTAAAACTATCGTCTTTCAGACGATGTTTTAAATTAAACTTTTGCCAGTGAACACGAAAATGACCTCTAATTTCGTCTAAAATGTCTCCTAACGGAGATCAGCCCGCTCTCGCGTGCTTCTCTATATATATGACGCGCTGCGCGCGTCACTTACTGCCGAAGGCAGCAAATGCGCCTTCGGCGCGTGCTCGCGCAAAGCGCGAGCTATAAAAATACATTTCTACTTCCGGGTCTGGGGACCCGTAAACTGCAATGATATCTTATTTTTAAGAATATATCAGGGCTACTGATAAGTTTGAAATAAAGAGGAATAATTTTGAAAGACGTGGAGAGTTCGGTCCTACATGGACGGTGGAAATACAACAGGAACTAAATAGATAGCTGTGACCGAATTTATTCAGATTACATATACTGATGTGAATATATTTACACTTTATTCTAATAAATCGTATAAAAACTTAAAGGAAGTTTATATTTTGAATATTTAGTGTCGAGTTCTATCCTAAATTTGAAGTCAGTTCTATATGTTATCAAAAGGTGCAGTTTCCCCAATCGTACAAAATATGCACAATCAAATTTGCAAGCTTAAAAATAATCATTATATTATTATCTTCTAATTTTCACATATACATAAACATGAAGTTTCTAAAATCTAAATTGCAATACATGATATATACAGGTAATCAACAGACACTTTTTTTCTTCCAGAAATAATCATTTGACACAAATGAACCGTCTCGAAAAACTTAAAGTTTCCATTCCAATTCAAAGTTGTTTGCCGAATTTGCTAACAACAAAAATAGAGTGTACAGGACGTTTGTGAATTAAATAAACGATTTGGGATCCTTTTGTCGGGATGGTCGAACTTTGAGCCTCATTCCGATGATGTGAACAGCCGTGGTACTGATGACGGTTTGTTTAAAAGACACGATAACTGTCTGGTCATAGGTACATCGCAAAATCACCTTGCAACCTGCATATATCTACCAGTCATGCCAACAAAAAATATTGTGGATAAATACACACAGACTTATGGATTAACCGATATTGAACGGATTTTGCCACTTTAAAGGGTCTATAATTATAGTCTTCTAGCAATCAGTTCATCATTGTACGTACAGATCACAAATCTGTATGAAGGACAACGATGTGATTTCAAACGTATTTCAGTTATACCAATCGTCATTGTAGTCATCATCACCATTGTAGTCATCATCACCATTGTCGTCATCATCACCATTGTCATCATCATCGTCAGGTACGTCTTCCTGATACACCCGGATCTTTTGAGAAACACCATACCGGAACCGAACCTTCCCGATTATAGGCCAAACCACTTTCTTGGGGGTTATCTCCACACAGTCTGGTAGTATGGCATTACTGTCACGTAGAATCTGGGCGATATCATTTTCTACAATCAGTACTTTTTCAGATGGTAATTCTGTGATCTTCACTTTCACCATCCCTCGGAAGGATACGTTCATCTTGAAGCTGCATTTGAATTCTTCTTCAAGTATTTCAAGCTCAGCAACAGTTCGCATTTCCTTCGGCGCTTTGACAGTCGTGTTGACGGCCCAGGAGAGAGAATTCTGTACCGTATTTTCATCCTCGCATTCAATAGTGACTTCGTTGCCGAACCCAGCTGTAGAGGTGAGAACTTCCGGTGGGACCGGAAGCTTGATTCCTGCATTGACCCCGCGTGTGAAGCCTTTGGACATCGTCGTTGTCACTGTCGCAATCGTGGAACGTTGAGTCTGGAAGTTGTGCAGTTGATATTGCCTTGTCTCATTGTCGAATGTCGAACTGAACACGATCTGAGATTGTGGAACACTTGATTTATGCTGCTTCGAAAAGGTTGGTTGGGAGGAAAGGAAACGGACCTTATTCCAAACCACATCGAGCTGTGCATTGTCGATAGTCACAGCATTTTTCGTCCGTGTATATATTTTCCACGCCCATTGTTTGAGGAGTTCATCAAGATCGGTAACCGAGCTGGCCATCCTGTGATATGAAATACACAAAACAATGAGGCATTGTAAGATTCAATTGGGACATCGTCTACTTCTATTTGAAATCTTGACCTCCAAGTATAGATATGTACGGTACTGACAATACCAAATAAAATCCAGGATTCGTGCCCTCGATCATAGAATCCGGGTACGCGAAAGGGGCACGGCGCATACGCTTACGACCAATCAAAGAGTTGATACCCTAACATCAAGCATGATAGGAATTACAGTTAACAGTTCATCACCGTCAGATGTGTTACTCCCTATCCTTGGTAGTTATCATATGTCTTCCAGCAACAATAGAAGCAGCAGGAACACGAGCGGAAGCAGTCAATCCCACCATATAATAATTTTAATAAGTGTGTTACAACATTTACTTCTCTCAATTTGTCATCTCTTATAGAAATCAGGGCGGTGGAGTAGCCTAGTGGTTAAAGCGTTCGCTCGTCACGCCTAAGACCTGGGTTCGATTCCCCACATGGAAACAATGTGTGAAGCCCATTTCTGGTGTCCCCCGCCGTGATATTGCTGGAATGTTGCTAAAAGCGGCGTAAAACTAAACTCACTCACCCACTCACGGACTATAGAAATCAACTGGATACAGATTAACTTACCTACAAAACGTCGCAAACTTCAAAGCTGATTTCAGGTTCAACGTTGGTTCTCAAGTGGTGCAGAAGCAGTTGGAGTCCCCTTTATATAATGTCCATGGTACACGTGGCGGTAGTCAGGCCGTCGGGTGACTCGGAATATGTGTCGATATAAATAGAATCTGGTAATGTATGACTGTATAACTGTTAGTGGGCCTAAAGTCGCTTTCTCTGACGTACTTGCAATGTATGACACCAGGCCTGTCCAACCGTTGTACCTATCTTTAGCCTTTTGTTTTTTTGACCGATAGATGACGAAGCGGTGGAGTTTGTAAAAACACACGTATATAAGGGTATGATGCTACAAGTCACTGAGGTACCCGTGTCTCCAATGTTAAATTATTAATAAAACCTACGCAATGTCGTCTGATTGTCAGGAGATCCATTCATTTTTCAAGATATTTCACTTTGTTGTGTAAGGCCGCACTCAGCATTATGTTCCAGCTATATAAATTCCAGCTTAGATAATCCTGTCTGGGCCAGACAATCCAGAGATTGACATCATGAGCATCGATCTACGCCAGTGGAATACGATTTCATGGAGCAACCAAGTCAGCGAGCCTGACCACCCGATCCCATTCGCCGTATCTTACGTCAAACATGGGTTGCTGAAAACATATTCTATATTATTTCTGGCGTTCGTTAAATTGTTAATGGTGGGTGCTACTGGGCAAAATTTAAGGGGCATTTACAGGGTCCTGTATGATCCTGGCGATGGTAGGCAACAAACAATATCTGTCTGGATGACTTCTTCACAAGCTGGAGTTTGGATAAAGGATGCTTTTAATAGAATTTCAGTTGTATTAAGTGTGTCAGTGTAGCGCTTGGATGTCCAAGCCGTTTATCACAACATTGTTCTGATGCTGACAAAACAAGCAGTACGAACCAAGATTTGAACCACCAATCACAGGTTCCTGTCATATCTAGGGGGAGCAACCCTGAGTGAGGGAATTAGGTCTTACACTGCTTTCAGCAATATTCCAGCAATTGCATGGTGGGACACCAGAAATGGACTTCACACTTTGTACCCTTGTGGGGACCAAACCTCTGTGTTTGATGCAAGGAGCAAGAGTTTTAACACTAGGCCACTGCATCGCCCCTCACTCACCCTGGGCATGAAGAATCAAAACATTATGATTAATTATCAGTATTTTATTATCAGTTACATTACAAAATATATTGTATAATACAGTGTTGTGTGTTACAATGTCTATATACAAACATTGCAGCTCTATATCTGTACAAGTCTTGTTGATTTAACAAATACCCATTCCCATGATGTTATGCAATAACAAAGTATGATATACAGTTCATATGCAACTCTTCCCCATGGATATATATGATATACATGATGTGTGACGACCTTTAAACAAGAGGTAAATGTCAATAATACTCATATTTAAATTGAGTGCTAAAGGTCAATGTCCTTGTGGAGAAACAAACGGCAATGAGGGATAACGGTCCTTTTGCCAAATGGAATTTTCAAATTTTCAAATTGTGGCAATTTTGTAATATGCAAAAGATCAGACATGATCAAATAGGTGACAAGTAGATTCTTTTCCTTCTCACTTTTGAAGTTTTGACATGGTTGACAATACGACTGCAATGAGTGAAACCTCAAGTATAAGCAAGTCGATCCAAAATAGAAACTGTTACTATGTGTTTGTGTTTGATAAACAAATTCTATTAAAATCACTTGGGGTCAATGACACGTTCATACTCCTTTAAAAATATATATATATAAAACACTTCATAAAAACTCCTATAATAATTTTTTAATCACATCTAATCATTACCTATGCAGTTACCTTTGACCCAAACATTTCATGTGTTGAAATGAACAAAGCAGACTTCAACTTCCAGAAACCACATCTGATATATTTCATAATAATGTCAAAATGGTTTCTCAGTTCTTAAATTTGCAGATCCTGTATCACAAAAAGGACCCTTATTCATCACTGTCGTTTGATACTTTATTCCATCTAAAATGAAACATATGTCATGTTTCTGTGGAACATCACCAATCACATATCAAGCTTCAACAACTAAACACTATGGACACATAGATGATAATAATCTGCAGTTAAGTACCATTTGTCACTGTACAAGATTTTGATATAAACATATCAATCAGATGAGGATGGACAGAAAATGGGACAAATTTAGCAAATTTGATAATAAAATTCATTAACAATTAATCAACATTAAAACATAAAAAAGTTACTCTCAAGTAACATTTCATCGTGTTTGAAGATATTATCACAGTCAACACTGCTGAACTAGCTCCCAGTAACATACATTTGAAAGTTCTGTTAAGCAAAGACACAGATCTTTCAGTTTTGGTTTGAGCAAATATACTGTGATTTTCATTTTCTTCAGAATGTCAAACATAACCTTAATGGTCATCAGCCTAGGCTGTAACATGCAACTTATATTGTATCCAGTGTTATGAATGAAACAACTACCTCATAAGTAAAAACGAAGCTATTTGGAATTTATTTAATATTCAGACGTCATTTATGCGATGTCACTGTGTTATGCAATAAGTAAAAATACTTATTGCATACTTATTACTAGCCAAATTGAACAAATCAGAGATCATACATCGGCAACAGCAAATCCGGGAGATAAACAGTTTTTTTTAGTTTGGGTTGGGTTCACCCACACCAAAACCCCTTTGAAAATTTTTGGATCCGCCTATGATGGGTCATCAATGTTTGACAGAAGCTCTGGGCATTGGATATGTGTTCCGTTGGGACACAATATCATATCAAAGAAGGACCAACATCAGACGGATTATCAGACCTTGCAAGGTTGATTGAAGTCCAGGTTACTTTAGACTTATGATGTATATGAATCTGATTATGAATAATGATTAGTACTCATTACACTGAGAAAACAAGACCTGGGGCACAGATAAAGGCTCCCAAGGTTCATCACCTCTGTCACTTGGGCAAATCCCTTTTATCCCAAACACCTGGTATCTCAATAATGTCATTTCATCAAACAATATTTGGAGGGCAGATGTCAATTATTGAAGGCATTCAGCATCCTTTTGTTCCAGAAGTAATGTCACAGTCTTCATCTTGCTTACCACTAACTAAACACAGAAGTGTTCACTCATTCTCATCAAATTATCAATTCAAAGTGCCTCTTCTTTATGACAGTTTGGCATAAATCTAATTTAAAAATGTGGTTAAGTAATTGCATCAGGAGAATCTGTTGTCATGACGACAAAGAAGTTTCGCTACAAAGTCATGTATTTGAGCCAGAATTTAACAAGGCAATTTGAGTACTGGTCATATCGCCACTTATTGTAATTGAGAAGGAACTTAATAATTTTACTGGATGGTAAGTTTAAGCATCATGCCAGTTCATCAAAACTCAAACCTAAGCTGTACTAGCAAATGGGTGAGTGAGTGGTTTTACGCCGCTTTTAGCAATATTCCATCAATATCATGGCTGGGGGCACCAGATATGGGCTTCACACATTGTACCCATGAGGGGAATTGAATCTTCATCGTGAAAAGCGAATACTTTAATCACAAGGCTACCCCACCAACCACTAACAGACAGGACCAGGGTACTTATTACAACATAACGGAGAATTGTACCCTGGATCATCGGAGATGAGCATTCACTAACCTGGTACAAAAGCTTGTTGATTACACAGGTATAGATAAGCTCAATAAGTCAATATAGATATATTTCATAAGTACAATAAGTCATGACTAGCGATGGACAAAGCAAGGCGTACGATACAACTACACAATCATGAAAGACCTGGTGGAGTTTCTATCCTATTGGGCAAAATGTGTGTTTTCCTGACCCATAACTCTATTCTTGTTTATTATCCCTTTCTCATATCACCTGCATTCGCATATTTTTGTCAAAATAAAGCAACAGGATAACTTGAAAACAGACCTATATTGTTAAATAACTATATTTCAAAACAAACAATTCAATTTTGGGGTGGGGTGAGAAAGGGAGGAAGCTCTCGACATGTACTGTGCTTGAATGGAGATGGAGGTTTTGTGTGTGTGTGTGTGTGTGTGTGTGTGTGTGTGTGTGTGTGTGTGTGTGTGTTGGGGTTGGAAAGGAACTTTGATATATCAAGGTCAGATTTTAAAGAACTGATTTTAAGGGTAGGGGATGATTCTGGCAGAACAAATATGTAATATATATATAATATTTGAGTATAATAATATTGATATGTAAATTTCTTGGTTTAAAAAAAACAAAAACATATAGGTACTTCTAATATTTGACACTAAGGATCATAATATATGAGGACTACTACTTGGCAGCAGGCTCTTCATCTTCATAATCAGGTTAACTTATCACACTTGTGGGTACTTTTATGTTAGACATACAATGAAAAACAGATTCTTAGGAATGGACTCACGTGAGATGTTGGTCCCATTTTAGTCTTCTAGAAAGTCTCATTCCCTACACAGAAATGAGATCTTGAGATTCTTGATTATTGCATGAACAATTGTAAAATATGTCACTAAATTATTAAAAACAACTTATCTTCAGCAGAAGCCTTCAACGAAGTATTTAAAATGTCTGTGACGCAACCTGCCTCGTTATAGTGAGCCTAAACACTGCCGTGCGAAAACATATGTCTGAAAACATAATCAGACAATAACACATCCACATTGTCTCTTTCAACAACAAACATAAAACAAGAAGCTGCAACATTAAACGCATACTGCAACTAGCACTACAGAATCAGATCTCTGATCTAGACACTTCTGGGAAGACCTTTTATGTTTGACACACACACACATCAGGAGATGTTCACCCTACACCATCACAACAAACCATCACTTCATGTGCTGAAGCTGTGAAGCCTTTCCAGACAGACAGGTCGACAAACTGTGGACTTGAGTGACAGTGTTTCAAAATATGTCACCACAGATGTATGCCACACATTCAACAGTGTGTAGTGTCTCTTTACATATCCTCAATGTCTAAATGATTCCAGGAGTTATCTCCCCTTGTTTGGTACTCAAGTCTTTGAAGAGGTAACTCCATCTAAACCCAATCGTTTCTTGAGAAGCTGAGTACCATACACTGCCCAACATGACATCTCCTACACCCGAGACAGAATGCATCAGTTGCACCAGATGCAGAGGATGCACCTCTTTTTTCTGTACTAACCTGAATCAGCTTCTCTATGACACCAGTTTTCATGGATTTTTGTTTCATTTTAGAATTGGGTTTTGCACAAAATCCTAAATCTACCTCTAGCACAAAGGAACTAACCTCATTTTCCAGGTAATTGAAAACATTAACACAATTGTTAAAAATTAAGGGAAGCAAAGGTTCTGGAAATCTTCTCCTTCAGTAATTAACCTTGTACTTCCCATACATATTTGATTTTCATCTTTGGGGTTGTCATGGTAGTGTTTGTCTTGACATTCACGCTTACTTTCAGCACTAAATAAACATCAGATGTGTACATTAAAGTATGTTCATCTGATTGTTTTGCTAGAACATAACAAGAATGAATTAACGTTATTATTCTGCCTTTTCTTACCATGCACAAATCATGCTATTCTTGCATATCATGTTTTACAAAATTACTTAATGGCACGATCCAAATTTTCTGGAATGTTCTTATTCATGCAGCTTGATGAACTGATTGAAAGTCTACAGGTGTTCTTGGTTGAACAGTATAGGTCTCTTGCACAAAAATATATATATCTTCCTATACTTATTCTGATGGAATAATGTACAGGTACGAAAACAATATAATAGTACAAAGTGTACTAACTTGGGTACATATTCCCGATGAAACAGATGAAACAAAAGTGAGTGGCCTTTCTCCATTACCTCTCTGTCTAACACACTGCTAATAACTGAAGACTCGACCTTTAAAGATGCCACGATTTGCTGTCCGTTAGTCAAGCAGGAAATCTATGACAGTGGCGTTTGAATCTTTACCCAGAATGCCTTCATTTTGTTTCCAGGATACAGGCAGACTTTCTGTGTTTCTTTTGAAGATGAGACACATATACATCACAGTACATTTTGAGAAGAACATGTCAAATAACAATAATTGGCACCGTATTCATTCATGTCATGTTTGCTGAGAATTAATCCTGCAGCATAATAAAACAGTTCTCACAATGCTGAGTCATCAAAAAGCATTGTGTCGATGAGGATGTGTGAGTACTAAAATATATCAAATGCTAACCATGAGAAAATTTAACGGTCATGGTAGAGTTACAATAACATCAAAATTTCTACATGTTCATAAGACAAGAATTTTTCTATGATTATAAACAAATTGTTCCATTTGTAAAAGCTTGGTTAGATCCAACATTAAAATCTCGGTCAGAAACATAACAACCTATAACAACACTCCCTTCTTTAACACTGGGAATGATCACAATAATCCCGAGCATAAATCTGTTGGGATTCATTCAACAACCAAAATAATGAATTCCACAGAACCAGTTTACCAGAGTCCATCCTGACTCAGTCTGTAAACTGAACTGTCATCAGTCCATCCTGTACTATGTCCACATAAATCACTACAGGCTAATACTATGCCAGTGAATTTCCATGTGAATCTGTCTTTCCTGGTTCACCAATTTTTGTGGATAAATGCTCCAGCTCTTCGCGGAGTGACCGAATGAAAGGTTGAGGGGAGGTTCCAGGTTCCAGACTGGACACAACATCCACCTCATCTTGACCGGCCCAGGTTTTTGTGGGGCCTTTATGTGGGCCTCCATTGAGACCACCATTTTCTTTCACAGAGTCCTGTGTTTGAGATTTACTTCCAAAAGAATGCAACGGTATGTCCTCATAGCCTGTCATCCCAGGGTAACTGGTGTCCCCATTGGGGAGCCCCGACTTGCCCATCCCTGTTCCGATGCCGTTAACAGTTTGATGTTTGGGGTGGGAGGGTTTTGAGTTTGTGCTGCCCTTGGGGTCAGGGTCTAAGTCTTTAGTTCTGATCACAATAGGCTTGGCTGGTTCTGTGGCGTAGTAGCTGTCACGCATGCTGGTCGGGTACGACTCGCTGAAGGTGGTTGTCTGAAGACGCTCCTGTGTCGGTGTCTTGTCCATCACAGTCTGCAACAGGAGATTACAATTTGTGAGTGAGATCTCTCACTTCATCATCTACTGTCTTTGTTTATTGTTTACAGCCGCACTCAGCAATATTCCAGCTATATAGCAGATGTTTAGAGAATAACCAACGAGGTACGAATGGTTACGGGAAATATGCCCGAGTTGAAATAATGTTCACAGTGCCGAGCCCTGGCGAGGCACTGAACATTATTTTAACGAGGGCATATTTCCCGTAATCACTCGTACCGAGTTGGTTATTCTAGTTATTACCAATAATGTAATTTAAAAAGAAGAACCACGAAATAAAAACCACCCGGAGACAGGAATTGTGACCTCAAACAGCTGATTCGTATTCATGCACGTATTAAACCTAACTTCTCCAGCGGTAATAACATAACTACGCTATGGAAATAGTACATCATAAAATCGCTTTAAAATACAACAAAATTATTATGTCTGGAATAATTAATTAACATTTGTTAATATGATAAAAATGATCTTTTAAATATATCATTGAACTTAATAACAGCTAAACATTTATTCGATCAAGTCAGTGCGACGGAACATCGTTCATTCAGGACTGACGTGTTTTCTAGTGACGGGTGACGGTGTAGTGTTGAAACACACTCTGGCAAAAACCTGTCAATTTTGGGGAAAGTCAACGGTTAAAAGTTAGGAAATCTAAAAGACAACCATCCCACGAATACATCTAGAAAAGTTTTCTGTCAAGAAACTCAACAAGTTTGAAGATTAAACAACATTTTGTTCTGTGGAAGGCATGTTACACTCTCGTCTTAGTAGAGTACAGCAGTTCCAAGAAGGATGACTCTAGTCGGAATCCGAGTCTATGAAATGTGTCAATCTCTGCATCGGCTACTGGGACCAACCTCTCGGATTGATTAGGAATGCATGGATATAAAAAATCATCTTGAAGAAGAACATTTAGCAATGATTCCGGTAAGAAAGGAGCTGTTTTCTGGTTCGATGGCATGGACGCCGTGTCCGACTCACTTGTTACACTTTCAGATAACATCTTTAGTCGGTATCTTGCTGTTTCTATTTCCCCGAATTCAGTTTTAACAACAAACTTGTTTTGGGAATTCAAGGGCTGTAAAATTCTTATCACTCTTCCTATTTGGTCACCGTCAAGTTTAACTAGGTAAGTGACCTTGATCGGGGTTAGCCTAACGGCGGCCATGTTTGTTTACAAACAATGCAACGATTGTTTAGGTTGGTTTTTTAAAGATTATATAATTTAAAAAGACTACTATTTATAACGCAATTTCATTCCAAAATAATAACTTCTAATAAAAAGAATATTCATATTCTTTAACCTTTATGTTTTCTTTTTTAAATCTCGGAATGTGTGATTACAGCACGTTCTAATTATCAATGAAACGGTAAAAGTTGTCAATGAACGGGGATCATGAAAAGTAGTTCCGTCAACCAATCATATTTCTTCTCTGCTTAGCTGACCAATCAACGTTGAGAATCACTGAAAAGCACATGTGCAATTATCACAAAAATAATCACCTGTGTATCTTAGCCCATATGGGTAATAACTGTATATAATTGAGTTTGGACCAGACAATCCAGTAATCAATCTATGTAATTGGGATACCATGACATGTGTTGTGAGCCTACCACCTGATCCCAATTCGCCTCTTACAACAAGCATCGGTTGCTGATGACCGGTTTTAACCCGTATCTTCACGTTCACATCTACTGTCTATCATTAACAAATGTGAACAATTTCCTTCGTGTTTCAGTCCCCTGGCCGGGAGTACCTGCCCAGTCCTAACTCTGTACACTCCGGCACTCATACACATAAAACATCACATTTCACTTTTGTCGTTACCATGACTTACAGTGGCCACAGACTTTATACAATGAAACTCATCTAATATTCATCAAACATTTAAACTTTTTTGTTCATATTTTATGAATCCTTTTAAAACAGCTGTACAAAAATAAATATGAACTTTATTTCATGTCCAGACTAAGGCTTCTTACTCCTGTCAGTCAAATCCATAAACCAGCAAAACAAAGGATCAGCATAAACTGCTTACCTGTGTTTGTGGGAGCGAGATGAGGGCTACCTCGTCCGCCGCCCTGTAGGGGCTCCACGTCTCCAGCCTGGGGGACCCCTCCTCCTGCCCTGTGTACGTGGGGTTGTAGTACAGGGGCGTGTGCTTCTTCTCTGTAAATGCATGAAGACACATTTCATGAAGTCAGTTCTGTTTCTATTTTCATCATACATACCATTAAATTTCTCATTCACTGTAGACTTATCAGACTGACTGACTGACTGACTGAGTTTGGTTTTACGCCGCTTTTAGCAATATTCCAGCAACATCACGGCGTGGGACACCAGAAATGGGCTTCACACATTGTGCCCATGTGGGGATTCGAACCCGGGTCTTTGGCGTGACGAGCCAACGCTTTAACCATTAGGCTACCCCACCGCCCAGTAGACTTATCAGACACTGTTGTGAAATAATCATCACGAGCAACAAACTTTAACCAATCAGTTAGAAATTAGTCTGCTGGCACTGGTTCTTAATCTGAATTTTCTGAAACATTGTTTGGAAGAAGTTAACACTGGGTCTTTGTAACTACATGTATCACTTGTCACATGTAACAGATCACTTACAGTTCTGATAAAGGCAAAGGGGAAGTCGTCAGATTAAACTGTTCACTCTTCATACTTTACATGGATACTGACTGACTGACTGAGTTTAGTTTTACGCCGCTTTTAGCAATATTCCAGCAATATCACGGCGGGGGACACCAGAAATGGGCTTAACACATTGTGCCCATGTGGGGAATCGAACCCGGGCCTTCGGCGTGACGAGCCAACGCTTTAACCACTAGGCTACCCCACCGCCCCTACATGGATACAGAAGACACTTTCTGGTTTGACTGTTTGACTGCAAAACATTTAGGACAGTTGATAAATACAAAGTTGTGTTTACCCACCTTCCTCTGCTGGCTGCTTTGATTCCTTGCTCTCTGTAGGCACAGATCCATTAGCTCTGGAACCAAAACATACATTCAGTTGTGGGTTTATATAAGAGAGTGAGTAAATTTTTATAAGAGAGAGAGAAAATTTAACATTACATTGGCAATATTTCTGCCATATCGTGACAAGGGTTATTTGTCAATGAACATACAAGGAGCAACATCTGAATATGCTTAAAGATGTCATAAATGTACAAGCAGAATTTTCAAATGACCTTGCTACTTTTTTGTGACCTTTATTATCCTTGACCTCTTACCTTGGGGTGACCTCAGACTTGTCATCCTTCTTCCGACTTTCAGACAGGCTTGTGTAAGATGCCTTAGTTGGACTTGACACAGGGGTCACTTTGTTCCTGGAACAAAGATTCATCCTTTGTACACACCTCCAGCAGGATGCAGGCAAAAGCCCTCCCTTCACTGAACATATCAGACTAAAACATCATTTCAGTATGAGTGTTAATGGTGTGAAGAACAAGTGCTTCAACCACTAGGTCATCAAACTGCCCCACAGTCATAAAGTGAGATAGTTTTCACTATGTTCCACTGGAGAAATTGCTTGTGTGAGATCAAATGATATCTCCTAGGAGATATCGTTTTGACAGCAGATTTTGTACAATGCCCTGACGTCATCAATTACATGAGATCACAATGCTTTGACATAATACATATTACATGACTCACAATGCTATGACATAAAAAACCTGATGACATGACTATGATATGACATCGCTGCACTGCAAGTCTAATCGTAGTACCATGTTCAGAGATGTACATTTTTCAATGAAAACTTATGACGAGGGATTTTCTCGGCAATTGGTCTCGGATTTTGGTCACTTTGTCAACTCGTGTTGATATAATTGATATCAGTGGATAACTTTGGTGAGATTCTCTGTTTATGTCACTTTTAGCAATATTCCAGCAATATCACAGAGGGTGACACCAGAAATGGGCTTCACTTATTGTAAACAATTACTGTGCCTTGAGGAACAGTATTAACACATCCATGTAGGATGCATTAGATTACATTCACAAACTGAAGGTTCATGGTGTCACATTACTACCCAAGTCAATGGAATGGCGTACACTCAAGTTACATTCTCGGCTCCCTGGGAATCATACAGACCTAGCTGAAGCATATGATGCCAGAAGTTAATACAACTGTATGATAAATTGTGTCTCTGAGCCACCTAGTACAGTGAGTGAGTTTAGTTTTACGCCGCTTTTAGCAATATTCCAGCAGTATCACAGTTGGGTACACCAGAAATGTGCTTCACAGATCATGCCCATGTGGGGAATCAAACCTGGATCTTTGGCATGATGAGCAAACGCTTTAACCACAAGGCTACCTCACTGCCCCCACCTAGTACAGGATGGTAGCTAGTTATCTGTAAGGAAGTATGTTGGGGGTGGAGATCATCATCCAAATATTCAACAACAATCCCATGCAGACATCATACACGACAGTAAACAACTGTGAACCATGAGGATAAGGAACAATGAGTGATGTTAAAATATAGTCAACAAATAACAGAACTCCTGCCGAATCATGAAAACAAGCAGGTGTCTACTCAAAAATACAGGAAAACACAAATAAAAAAACAAAACATTCATGCGATTTAATGAAGTCTACTTGAGCCACACAGCAAATGCTTGATGTGGTCTAACAAAGGGGAGATAATCCAGGGTGAAAAAATGATAATGGAAACACCATTTTGGCAGGCGGATAACCAGTTACAGCCAAAATTACCTTTTCTTGTTGAAGGATAAAACTGACCTGGCAAACACATATAAAAACATAAGATTTTCTAATCAACATTCTGTTGGTATGTAATACACTTAATTAACATGGTATTAGAACTAGACAATCTGTACTCTTTAAAGTACTCAAGACATAAATGTCAAGGATAGTCCTCAGTTTAACAGGTGTAGGTCTTCACCAATAACATGAAAATGTTGGCATAAACAATGAAAAAAAATGAAAACATGAAAAATAATGAAAAACTATTTCGGTCCAGGTATCTGGAATCTGTCTCAAATCAGTAACTGAAAACTATTTGATGGCATTTCCAGAGTAATAGAGTGCTACTGAGGTCTAACAGTACCCAGTAGAATACCTCTACAACTACTTGTCTGTTTATGCTGATGTCAACAATATTCAACTTGAATAAATGAGTTTGAATCAGGAAAAATACCCAAAAAATAGTGATTGATATTATGAGCAATGATGGATGTCAGGGGAGGATGATGATGTATAATCATGCTCAGTGGGACCAAGTGGAACCTGGATTACCGCAGGGTCACACATCGACCCTGAGAGGTGAGTGCCTTCAACTTGTATGAGATAGAATAACATGACGCATGATAAAATCTAACTAACCACTGAACTACATCTTTGTTAGAAAGAAACAGCTACTCTATAATAGCTACTGATGAGAATGTAAGTATACCGTAACTTAATGGTATGTGTCCATGCCATCAACAGACTGATCTAGTGTGTACCTACAATCAACTGAACAAATCCTCTCCAAAGGCAAACTTCACCTGTACCAGGTGTACCTCACACCACCTGAGTCAAATGTACCAAACACCATCTGACTGAACCCGTCTGTACCTAACACCATCTGACTGAACCCGTCTGTACCTAACACCTTCTGACTGAACCCGTCTGTACCTTGCACCATCTGACTGAACCCGTCTGTACCTTTCACCATCTGACTGAACCCGTCTGTACCTAACACCATCTGACTGAACCTGTCTGTACCTGAACCCACACCTACACCATCTGACTGAACCCGTACCTAACACCTTCTGTACCTTGCACCATCTGACTGAACCCCGTCTGTACCTAACACCATCCGTCTGTACCTTGCACCATCTGACTGAACCCGTCTGTACCTTGCACCATCTGACTGAACCCGTCTGTACCTAACACCATCTGACTGAACCCGTCTGTACCTTGCACCATCTGACTGAACCCGTCTGTACCTAACACCATCTGACTGATCCCGTCTGTACCTAACACCATCTGACTGAACCCGTCAGTACCTAACACCATCTGACTGAACCCATCTGTACCTTACACCATCTGACTGAACCCGTCTGTACCTAACACCATCTGACTGAACCCGTCTGTACCTAACACCTTCTGACTGAACCCGTCTGTACCTTGCACCATCTGACTGAACCCGTCTGTACCTAGTACCATCTGACTGAACCTGTCTGTACCTAACACCATCTGACTGAACCCGTCTGTACCTAGCACCATCTGACTGAACCCGTCTGTACCTAACACCATCTGACTGATCCCGTCTGTACCTAACACCATCTGATTGAATCTGTCTGTACCTAACACCATCTGACTGAACCCATCTGTACCTTACACCATCTGACTGAATCTGTCTGTACCTAACACCATCTGACAGAACCCATCTGTACCTTACACCATCTGACTGAATCTGTCTGTACCTAGCACCATCTGACTGAACCCGTCTGTACCTAGCACCATCTGACTGAACCCGTCTGTACCTAGCACCATCTGACTGAACCCGTCTGTACCTAGCACCATCTGACTGAACCCATCTGTACCTTACACCATCTGACTGAACCCGTCTGTACCTAACACCATCTGACTGAACCCGTCTGTACCTAACACCATCTGACTGAACCCGTCTGTACATAACACCATCTGACTGAACCTATCTGTACATAACACCATCTGACTGAATTTGTCTGTACCTAGCACCATCTGACTGAACCCGTCTGTACATAACACCATCTGACTGAACCTATCTGTACCTAACACCATCTGACTGAACCCATCTGTACCTAACACCATCTGACTGAACCCATTTGTACCTAACACCATCTGACTGAATCTGTCTGTACCTAGCACCATCTGACTGAACCCGTCTGTACCTAGCACCATTTGACTGAACCTATCTGTACCTAACACCATCTGACTGAACCCATCTGTACCTAACACCATCTGACTGAATCTGTCTGTACCTAACACCATCTGACTGAACCCGTCTGTACCTAACACCATCTGACTGAATCTGTCTGTACCTAACACCATCTGACTGAACCCATCTGTACCTAACACCATCTGACTGAACCCATTTGTACCTAACACCACCCGACTGAACCCATCTGTCCCTGTACTTCTCTGTACTTACCCTATGCTAGACCTGCTGGAGGAGATGAGGGAGAACGCATCATCTAGCAGTTTGTGCATCCTCCGCTTGGCCTCATCCAGAGACTCCCCAGACTGAGATGATCCCTCTTGCTCATCCTCAGTGAAAGCCTCATTCTGGAACAGGTTGCTGATTGGTCAAATTTCAATATCAATAGATCCAGTGAAACATGTACAATTTCTCACATTGAATATCTATTGCTTACCAAAATGGCAGATTATAAGTCATTATTAAACATGTGCGACACTTTAGTTTCTGTAACATTTGAATCAAATTTGTTCCAGGGAAAAAGTAAAGTTTTCAATCCAACTAAGCACTTCATTATCTATTATGCATGTACTCACAGTGTGTCCTTCTTGGGGATCTTTCTTACGACGACTCGATCTGGTGAAATTACAAAAGAATTAAGAAATACAAGTAAAGGAATGCTCAACATCAATAATTGAATATTTTACATACTACATACTTACATGGACAAACAGAGAGTAACAATAGATAATTACACCTGAACATCATGCATGAGGGTTGATGACGACTAATCATTCGATCTGGTCTGGGTATACAAGAAGTACAACAATTTGGATGGGCTTATACATGAGAATGAAGGTTAAACGATGTTGTCATTATTGGTACATATAAATAGTGTTCCCCCTAGGATTCAGAAAGGGCAGGGTAACTTCAAAGAAAAGGGCACTTCATAATCTAAAAGGGCATTTTGGTGAGGATTATTGAAAAAATAACAATAACAAAATGTATATATATAAGGCAAATGAATTTATAATTTTATTTAAATGCCAATTTCCTAATCATTATCAAAACAATTTTGCGTCTCCCCTAGAAAGGGAGAGAACTCCGTCCTATATAAAATCCGGAAAATACACACAGTTGTTGTAAAATCAAGCACAGCTGAAAAAAACCTGGGATTGAGGCGAAAAGGGCAGGGCGCGAAACAAAAGGGCAGGGCACAGCGCCCTCCTAAATGTGCCTAGGGGGAACACTAATAAATGGTTGGGTGGTTGGTTTGTGGTTTAACGCCGCAATCACCAATACTCCAGCTACATGACAGCGGTTTGTAAATAATTAAGTCTGGACCAGATAATCCAGTGATCAACAGTATGAGCATCAATCTACACAGTTGGGATACAATGAAGTCCTCTAGTCTGCCCACCCGACCCCATTAGTCGTCTTTTACGACAAGCATGGATTTCTGATGACCAATTCTAACCTGGTTCACAGGTCGTACATAAATGGGTGCACATTCTTGACATATGTAATGACCTTCTCATCACATGTTCACAAGTGACAAAGACATATATCCTGAGAAAATACATTCTGTGACAATTACCTTTAGCATATCAATCATGTGAGTTCATATTCAAAGTATGCGATTGGCTAGTCATAGTTGACGCCCTATTGTCCGATATTCTGGGGCTATTTTCTTGGTGGTAATCTATTGATGAGTTTTTCAGTTTTGTCAAAACGTTTCAGGGTTTTTTTGTTAATAAATGTTCTTAGGTCCCTCTAATTTTCATTATCATCTTCGATCATCTTTCAATAATCTACAGATATCGGGGAAATGTTGAGTGTAAAGTCACACAAGGTAGGAGTAGTGAGCAGTAGGTCGGATGACATCTCAATGACTATGTCTTATGTATTATTGCACCACCGTGATCATATGAACAGGCAAATTATATGTAGTTTCAATGCTCAACATTTAGATTTTAGGATGTGTAAAATACAGATTACTGCAGTCAAACTAGTCAGATACTACAGTCAAGCACCGTTGTCTCGATATTCCTGGGACCAAGAAAAAATTAGACTGCATTTGGTGGAGGCATGAAAGCGATAGTAGATAACCACTCTCGATACATGACAAGTCCTTGTAACAGTCGCCCTCCATTCCACAAATATTGTGAATGCATCCAGGGCCTCGGTAGCTTGGGGAAGTTCGCAATTTCGAAACAACTCAACAATCACATGCTAGTCACATGATTACACAAAACCCTCAATGGATTCTCAGTATGTTTTGATTGGAAACTATAATCTGTTATCAGTAGTGTATAGTCGTAACAGTGAGTACTTCCTAATTAATTCCTTCTTAATTAATCTAATTAAGTATCAAACAAGTGACACCTTCAACTCAGTTAGCCTAATTAGTTTACACTACCGCATCCCTTTGATTCATGCTGCACTGTGTGTAAACGAGTGGAAACAACCTCAGTTCAGAGGCATACTTGCCCATTAAAGGTAGGTGAATATCGTGTTTCTTTGCAATTATCGAGTCAAAAGGGTAATATTGCTTGTTGGGACCATGAAATTATCTCGAGATATCTAAAATATCGGGACATCTGTATCGAGTTAAAAGAGCTTGAATAATGATAAATTATGAAGCATTTTACCGGGACTGAGATGCTATATCGAGACAACCGAGATATCGAGTTATCCGAGTTCGACACAACGGTGCTCGACTGTATAAACCTTAAAACATGTTCCAACACAACTAGTATCTGCAAGACGCTCATGTCCATGTGCTACTGGACTCCAGAGTTGTAACCCCAACAGCAGATCAGTATCAACCTTGATACAGATGTACTACCAAGAAACAGCATGGATCTTTACCGTTTCTTTGGTTTATGGACAAAGACATCAGGGAGGTTGGTGTCCTGGTCGGGGGAGCCGAGGACAGCGTCGATCTCCTTCTGAGCCTTCTTGTACCCTTGTCTGACCTCATGATCTCCGCTCTGACGGGGGTCTACACAACAGAAACATTGGACATCAGATCAGCCTATTTCAAAATGAAAAACTCTAAAAAATGTAATTTTTGGAGTAAAATTGATATTTTATACTTATCCTGACTCATGCTCTTTTTGCTTGTCTTCTTCTTCTTGCGAACATAGTGGAACACTTGTATCTCCCTAATTGAAGCTCCTTCAATTTAAAATCACTAATTAGTATTCACCACGAAGTTACCTCCTTTCCACAAGCTGAACGAGGGCGCCACCTCTACCCATGTGCCTCACTCTCTCCTCATATACTGAGCCCAACATTTGAATTTACAGGGAAATCCAAAGTGTTATTTGGGGAGGATGGGAGGGCTGACCTCATGAGTCAGGATAAGTATAAAATATCAATTTTACTCCAAAAATTACATATTTTTCCTTATCCTGACTCATGCTCTTTTTGCTTGTAGCATCCTACGGAACGGAGGTGGGAATATCTAATACTTTGGATTTTTAATAATTAGTGATTTGAACTGTGATGATTGTAATAACCCTATGGGAACTTCATAAAGGCACTGAACTGATGAATTCCTGCTGCTAACTTATCAGCTGCCATATAAAAGGTTATTACCATGTACTTATTATGATAAAGTATATATAACATTAATACAATGCTTAAGACTAATAGACTTAAGCTTGTTAATATGCTAGTATAAACTCCTTAGAGTTTGTTAGCTAAAATACTTTAAGATATAACATAGTACTAAGCTTAAGATATGATTAAACTTAAGCTAATTATATAATAGCAAACTCTTTAGAGTTTGTTAGTTAATATACTTATATGATATAGATATAATGCTGAGCTTAAGATATGAATAAGCTTTAGCTACATATATAATAGCAAAAACTCTGTAGAGTTTGTTAGCTAATATATTTTTATAATATGAGTATAGTACTGTGCTTAAGCTATAATTAACTTAAGCTACATATATAATAGCCAAACTCTGTAGAGTTTGTTAGCTAATATATTTTTATAATATGAGTATAGTACTGTGCTTAAGCTATAATTAACTTAAGCTACATATATAATAGCCAAACTCTGTAGAGTTTGTTAGCTAATATATATTTATAATATTAGTATAGTACTGAGCTTAAGATATAATTAACTTAAGCTACATATATATAGCAAAACTCTGTAGGGTTTTGTTAGCTAATATATTTTTACAATATGAGTATAGTAGTGTGCTTAAGATATAATTAACTTAAGCTACATATATAATAGCAAAACTCCGAGAGTTTGTTAGCTAATATATTTTACAATATGAGTATAGTAGTGTGCTTAAGATATAATGAACTTAAGCTACATATATAATAGCAAAACTCCCAGAGAGTTTGTTAGCTAATATATTTTACAATATGAGTATAGTATTGTGCTTAAGATATTATTAACTTAAGCTACATATATAATAGCCAAAAACTCTGTAGAGTTTATTAGCTAATATGTTTATAGTGTAACCATAGTACTAAGCTTAAGATAAGATTAGACTTAAGCTAAAAGTATATAGCAAAATAAACTCCTTAGAGTTTATTAACTAATATACTTTTATGTTAAAACATAGTACTGAGCTTAAGTTATGATGAAACTTAAGCTATATATATATAATAACAAAACTCCATCGAAGTTTTGTTAGCTAATACCTTTATAATGTAAACATACTGCTTAAGATATGATGAAACTTAAGCTAATTGTATAATAAGCGAAAACAACCCTTTAGAGTTTGTTAGCTATGATATAAACCTAGTATTGAGCTTATGAAGGAAAACTTAAGCTACATATATAATAGCAAGAACTCCGTGAGAGTTTGTTAGCTAATACATGTTATAATGTAACCATAAAGCTTAAAATATGATGAAACTTGCTTTGAAAATATATAATAGCAAAACCCTCTTTTAGAGTTTTGATAGCTAATATACCTATATGATATAAACATAGTACTGCTTAAGATATGAATAAGCTTAAGTTACATATATAATAGCTAAAACTCTGTAGAGTTTGTTAGCTAATACATGTTATAATATAACCATATTGCTTAGAAATATGATGATACTTAAGCCAAATAGCAAAAACTCTTTAGAGTTTGTTAGCTAATCTACTTATATGATATAAACATAGTACTAAGCTTAAGATATGAATAAGCTTAAGCTACCTATATAATAGCAAAACTCCTTAGAGTTTGTTAGCCAATATATTTTAATAATATGAGTATAGTACTATGCTTAAGGTATAATTAGCTTAAGTTACCTATATAATAGTAAAACTCCGTAGAGTTTGTTAGCTTAATTAACTTAAGCTATGTATAAAATAGCCAAAACTCTGTAGAGTTTGTTAGCTAATGCATTTATCATGTAACCATAGTATTACTCTTAAGATATGAATAACTTAAGGTAAATATATATAATAACAAACTCTGTAGAGTTGTTAACTTATATATTGTATGATGTAATAATCATAGTACTGTGATGATAAAAGGAACTTAAGTAAATTATACATAGCATGAAGCTATTTAGTATTGTTATAAGATAAGTAAAAATCTGTTAGATTGACTTATCTTCTCCGAGGAACTGTCAGCTGTTGTGCGAGGACCATGGGATCGAATTGGTGTATACCTGAGACGTCCTCGGTGGTGATATCTCTCAGATAATGGTTTGCAACCACCATATCGGATTTCCAGAAATAAACCCTCCATTATTTCAATCACATTTGTGTAGAACAATTGTAGAAGTTAGCGCTATAATATCATGAGTATTAAGCTCATGGAGGGTCGGAATAGGTCCATCCGCATATGCACGTAGTATGACAGTTCTGATCCAAATGGAGATATAGTACATGAGACTTCACTCTGCGTAAGTTGATGATAGAGGAAATAATCTGTTGCATTTTTTCCTCCTGTTTGGTTTGGTGGAGATAAATTTACAGTGCTCTTGCTGGCCAACTTGATAGAATCATCGTATCATGGGGTCCAAGTATGTCATCCAGGCGTGTTCATAAACCTCACTTGTGAGGTGTTGGAGCACTATATTCATATCCCCAGGTTGGGCGTGAAATTTCCGTTTTATTCTCCAAACAGAAGTTTAGTAGGTTTACTAACCATCTAGTTGTGTTAGTCGCTTGATGAAATTCAGCTGTAGTCTGAAACGCTGTGGATTTAGATCCACTTGTATCTTCGTCTAGGTAATTCGCTGCGAAGTCCTTGACGATGTAGGTGCACAACCAGGTGTGTCTGTCCTCGTTGAACTTTATGTAAATCGCCTGACTGCCGATCCCTCGTCTTAACTTGACAGGGAGGTCTCTAACTTGAAGAAAGGCAGTCTAATCATGAATGTTCAGGTTAACTGGACTGTAATGAGGCTTGCTCGTTCACTGATATATAGTTGTCACTTGTGACGTAAGTCTTGAACTGTGAATTGAGATCGACCTCTGTGTAGGTCGTTGTCCCTCGCGGTCCAATCAGAACAAGGCATTTTGATTCTGTATAATACCCGCAGCTGTGATGTCACCGGTGTAGCGGGAAAAAACCCACCTTGAATAAATTCTTGTCGTCGTTGATATTAGCATAAACGTCGGTCTTCACCGTAGCTTCCCGAAGTTATCCGAGTGACCACGTGTTTCGAGGGTTAATGGTAATCGCGCGAAACCTCCGGTGCGAAATATCTCGCTCTGTAATTTTATGCTGGGTAGGTTATTTTCCTGGTTGTCGTGAAAGTAATTTCAGTTTTGAATATAATTCCGACTTCCTTATATATAAGGGTATAAACAACTTGCAAGTTGTGAGCTTGTAGACTGTATACATGAATGTATCGTCATAATTGTAGAATTAACGTTGAACTTGTTGTACATATTTCTTCTCAGAAACTTTGACGATTAAGAGTTAACGCTGTAACAAGGCTGCTGTTCAATTTCGATATTGAATTGTCTGCAGATATGCGTAATGGTCACGCATGTAGATAATCGTATCGTCGTCCGGGATTGTATATTAGCAATTTATACGGAATAGTTGATTTCTGTGAAGATCTATGAAATGTCGTTGACTAATAATACAGCGACGTTCTGTGTTGTAAATAGCCTGAGCAATTATCTTCGCGTAGGCTTATAGACGGCATCTGGCATACAGTTGATAATCAACTTATGCGACGTCTTGAACGGACTGACGAGTAGCTATATATGACGAGTGGCTAGTATATGGAAACCTTGGAGGAGACTTCCTCGGTGAACGCCGGAGACTTCGCGAAGTTCTCGAAGTATCCCTTCTAGATCTTCTGGGTGAAGTAGACTTGGAGCCACTTAGCCTTCGCGACCATCGCGAAGGTGTCGAAGTCAAAAGCCCGATTAGTATATATATATATATATAAATATATATATGCGCTTGCTTCGTGAACAGCCTCTGTGTTTAACAGGATGTGGGATCGGCGAAGCGCTTGCCTAAGTAGGGCCGCATGGATCATCTTATCATATTCAGAAGTCGTGTTACGAAGTCTGGTGATAAGTGTCTAATTGATCGTTCTAGATCTATTTAGGCCAGCGAACATACGTCTCGTCATGGATTCAACAGAACCAATATACGATTGTAGTTCTTATACTTGATATCGATGATCAACTTGTCTATGGGTTGATCTTCTCGGAGACTTGTGAGGGGAACGTTGATAGTTTCGCGAAGCTCTTGTATAGTCCCTCGATGTCCTTCTAGATGATGATGATCTGGATTCAGGTGTCCTTCGCGCATGCCTTCGCGAAGCTTCCTCTGCGTCCGGTCCGGGGAACGACGATATGACCTTCGCGAAGGCTTCCGTGATGTCTGATGGTCCGAGTCCACATCTAGGGATGAAACCGCATAAGGTGATGATCTATCCTGCCTTCGCGAAGTCCTTCGCGAAGGCTGTACATCTAGGTTCTTTCCGCCTTCGCGAAGGCTGTACATCTAGGTCCTTCGTCAAGGTGGTCCGTGACTTCCTTCGCGAAGGTGACATCGTCCTGGCTGCTACGTTGACGGGGGGTGCCTCTGGGGTGCTGTCTACGTTGGAGCCTTCGCGAAGGCTCGGACCCTGCTACCGCAGATATAGTGGTCCTCCATGATGTTCATAATTTGTCGCATCATGTCTTCTGGGATGGTCTGCGGCGAGGTCGCCGGTGCTTTATCTGGCGGTGTTAATGGAGGGTCCACCGAAAATCGTCCGACATCAGTGTAGAGGCATCAGGCTGCATGGTGATCTCTGCTGATGTCGTTGTAGCTGTCACCGGTCGATTTCTTGTGGCGCACGTCGCCGGGATGATGATCAGCTGATCATCGAGAGGTCCAGGTCATCGGCTGGAACAATCTCGGCTGAGAAAGTCCTAGTAGACTTCGTTGATTTTCCTCAGAGGTCGACGCTGCCCTGGGTGTGCGACGTCTGCGTTGAGTGTTGGTAATGATGGGACCCTCAGGACGATCATCGCATATCTGCGTTGGTACATCAGGCTGCATGCTGATCTGAGCCGACATCGGTCAATCTTTGATGTACATCTGGTATGATGACCGGCTGATCATCAAACAGGCCCAAACTGCGATGGGAACGGTCTCGGCTGTTGAGATGTGGTAGAAAAACCCTCTAGTCTTCTGCTGCGACGATGGGATGTCTGGGGAAGCAGGATGCTTCTTGGAGATGGCGGACTACGTCCCACACCTCTCCACCACTCTAGCGGAACACCACACGGGAGGGGAGTCGGCCAACAGCAGTAGACTGGCGAGGGGTTCCGGTGTATCAGTCATACTAGAGTCTGCATACGCGACCTATCTGCTGTGCGTGCCAAACGCAAAGTAAATATTAATAAAAAGGTAGAATTGGATAAATTAGTACCGCAACTGCAATGTGAATATAATAAACATGGCGCCGTACATCATATTAAAGGCGGATCAGCAGCAGCATAAAAAACGTAATCTGCAATAGTACAGAATTTTCATCAACGTAATCCACTGAAACAAAACACGGCCCCGTGAATAAACTGTAGAAAAACGACTAAATATCAATATATAATCGTTGAAGGATACTAGCTAAACCTCTATAGATGTCTATACGAGGTAACTAACTAAATATATTTCAAAGGATATAGTGTGTCGGGAGACACAGGCGCTCTCACGTCCAGCTCACTGGGCGAAGAAGGAGAGAGTGAGGCACATGGGTAGAGGTGGCGCCCTCGTTCCCGCGCTTGTGGAAAGGAGGTAACTCGTGGTGAATACTAATTAGTGATTTTAAATTGAAGGGAGCTTCAATTAGGGAGATACAAGTGTTCCACTATGTTCGCAAGAAGAAGAAGACAAGCAAAAAGAGCATGAGTCAGGATAAGGAAAAATTATAAACAACAGACTAACATCCTTGTAGTGTCTGCTTGTCTAGACTTGCCTCTTTAAGGAATAGAATTACTATACATCCATGAGCTTAGCATCCAGTACAGCCTTGGAGCAAGGCTAGTGGTCCACTTATCTAGACTTGCCTCTTTAAGGAAAAGAATTACCATACATCCATGAGCTTAGCATTCAGTACAGCCTTGGAGCAAGGCTAGTGGTCCACTTATCTAGACTTGCCTCTTTAAGGAATAGAATTACTATACATCCATGAGCTTAGCAATCAGTACAGCCTTGGAGCAAGGCTAGTGGTCCACTTATCTAGACTTGCCTCTTTAAGGAATAGAATTACTATACATCCATGAGCTTAGCATTCAGTACAGCCTTGGAGCAAGGCTAGTGGTCCACTTATCTAGACTTGCCTCTTTAAGGAATAGAATTACCATACATCCATGAGCTTAGCATTCAGTACAGCCTTGGAGCAAGGCTAGTGGTCCACTTATCTAGACTTGCCTCTTTAAGGAATAGAATTACTATACATCCATGAACTTAGCATTCAGTACAGCCTTGGAGCCTATACTTATACTTTGGGGTTTCATATACCAGGAATAGATCTGGAATTCCAAACCACATGCCCTTGAAAGGAAAACTTGAAAAACTTGTTATCTTACTTAACATATTTCTCATAATTCTTATCTTCCTAACAGCAGAGGTATTGGTTTGTTGCTGTAATTGCAATAATGTATCACAAAACACTAATGTCTCTCCCTCCACAATTGTCCTGTTATCAATGACATACGAGTCGAATCTGTTACATTGTTATATGATGCTCAGTACCTCCTCAGTCAGTATGTTCCAATTCAGCACAAGTTTGAGAATGTTTGTTTTAATATTCATCAATATTCCAGCCATATCATGTAGTTTAGAAACCTGTAATCTGTTACTGATATCACGATCAACATCCCACACTGTTGAGGTACAATAAAGATGAGACTGACTTCATGATACAATTCTTATAGGAATGATGACCAAAGTCCCACATTGCTCTGATACAATGAGATTTACTATGATACAATTCTTGCCAACAAATATAGGTTAATTAGGACCCTAAACTGTACAGAACTGGAGGTACACAAGGTGAGGTGAGGTGAGGTGAAATTGGGTTTAATGTGGAGAATATTTCGCTCATATGACGACGTGCATGCGTGTGTATGTGTAGGTGCGGCTGCTTGTACTAGCCCAGACTGAAGTTGGTTTTATAGTGCTAGCTCACTGAGATACCATGCCGCAGTGAAGCATGAATACCCCACTCAGACACATTATACTGACTCCGAGCCAACCAGTCCTTGCTGTACCCATTAATGCCGAGCGCCAGGCAGGGACCAACAAGTACCATATTTTAATGTCTTTTGGTATGACGCGGTCGGGGATCAAACCCGCAACCTTCCGCTCTCGGGGCAGACGCTCTTACCACTACACCACAGAGGCGGTCCCACTACACCACGGAGGCGGTCGGAGGTACACAAGGCTCTAAAGGAGAACACCTCACCTGTGTTACCAGACCTTTCTCTCTTGCGCTGCTCTCTCAGTCGCTGCTTGTTCCTTAATCTCTCCATTTCAGCTCTCTCCAGGAGTGCCTCCTCTTCCTGAAATACAGGTGAGTGAGTGAGTGAGTTGGGTTTAATGCTGCTCTACAGTATTTCAGTCATAACACAGTGTGTCAGACATATGCGTGATAAAAGCTCTAAGCCTTAGACTTTTACCACTTGACTAGAAACCTACAAGCACCACAGATTAATTGTTTCACCACAGCGTAAGTGATGCAAATCTGAAAAGCAAATTGAGTGGCAGTAATAATAAAAGGCTGGAGTCTGTACATAATCAATATTGAAGAGCCTGTAACAATGTGCTGGCGGCTGTGACTGTAAACCTAAAAATGGGTGTTTCGAGGTAATTCGTTAATTATTCATTGATCTCCTGTTTTCACTTTCCAGTTTCACAATTTAGTTCTGTATAAGCCAGTTTCTGGGTTATCAGTAATCTCTGTATTTCTGTTCGGAAATCACCTCACAACCACAGACTTACCTGGGCTGAGGCAGGTGGCTTGCTGTCCAGGTGTTTGTTGTGTCTGGGTATAGGCAGGGGTTTGGTTCTCAGCTCTTCAGGGTGGGGCGCCACTGGGTTGTCAATCTGGGAGCTTGAATCATCAGCTGGTGAACAGAAATGAACTGATATAGAGAGGCAGGAGGGTGGAGGAACTAATATCCTAATATTGTACCGACTCCTAAGTTCCATATCTCCAGTATCACTTAAAGATTGCAATCTCTTTGTGCAGAGTCAAATGACATATTTTAACTGAAATGTGGTAGTGCCTTGTTTCAATCTCCCATGTTTATGACATTTAAAACAGTTTCTGTTTCAGACTACAGACCTAAATATTCAAAGACATTGCTGTAAGAAATGGTAAGTCCAGCAGGAGTACTGAGCAGAGTTACCTTCTCTTGGTATGTTCCTTTGTTTCTTCCCTTTCCTCCTGGCCGGCGTGGAGTAGCGATCATCCTCGGACACGTATGTCATGGAGTCATTGGCTTCTGACCGCGGACTGGCTGATGGATGTCTAGAACAAGAGGAAATAATGTCATCTTTTTCAGTAGTTCAATACAATGATCATGAAGCCATTCAACCCCAGATATCTGCTGCAAACGAGCTATCAGCCTCCTAAATAGATCCAGTGTCATCTCGATAAATGTCAGAAAAGTAAGGTAAATAAACGTCATGATATCATCATGACAGGTCCCAACCTAAATCAGTGTACTACATTTCATTATCTTTATTACCATATCCAAATTTCTTTACTTCTGTGTAGTGGTTATAGCGTCTGCCCGGAGAGCGGAAGGTCGCGGGTTCGATCCCCGACCGCGTCATACCAAAAGACGTTTAAATATGGTACTTGTTGGTCCCTGCCTGGCACTCGGCATTAATGGGTACAACAAGGACTGGTCGGCTCGGAGTCAGTATAATGTGTCTGAGTGGGGTATTCATGCTTCACTGCGGCATGGTATCTCAGTGGGCTAGCACTATAAAACCAGCTTAACTCTGGGCTAGTACAAGCAGCCGCACATACACATGCACACATGCACGTCGTCATATGAGCGAAATATTCTCAAGCACGACGTAAAAGCCAATTTCACCTCACCTCCCCTCTTTACTTCTGTGGAAGCTTGTGACAGTGACTTACTTCTTCTTCTTCCCGTTAGTCTTGGCAATGTCCACTAGCTTCTTAACCTCTGGGTACAGAGTGGACTCCTCATCAGGGTCAGGGTTCACCTCGTAGGACATCTTGTTGTTTCTGGTCTTGATGAGCCCCACGCTGCTGCTCCTCTTGCTCCCCTGCTCTGGGGGGTAGTCGGGGGGAGCACCTGAAGCCTCACTCTGAACCTGGAACATACAACACACAGGCTCTGTAGCTTAACTCTCCTTACAAATTTGTGAAATAAGTAATTTGAAATATAGCAATAGGATGAAGAATAAACAGCCTTTCATAAAATCTGTTTCATGGGTGCATAGTTGGTACACTATATGCTTTCTAATGGCTTTGGAATATTTCTCATTCCATGTTGATGATTTTAAACAAATGCATGAATGCATGCATGCACACAGCAGCCATACAGACACACATCAGACATACAGACACAAACACACATCCTCTAAATGAATCTCAAGCTCCTCTTCATTTACCAAATCTCAAGGCTTATCACTCCTCCTGGGTATGACATGTTGATTAAACAGAATTGTCCACATTACACAGATACACTGGATTTAAACAACAAGCATCACCAGGTATACTTGTGTTCAACATCAACATTTTTAAAAGTGCCCTCCTGGATTGGATTTGACTGTGCCTGTGGCACTTTATACTACAACAAGGAACCTTTAACTCAGCCAATATTTACTAAATATAACTCAACTCATCCAGGAGGTCCAAGCAGCTTTGCAAATGTGAGACTGAGCACATCCCATAAAAAGTCTGTTAATGCTGCTCAAGATTAGATAGATGGGTGCTTGTCATTTTTTTAACTGTTGGGATTTGAGTCTCGTCTGGAAAACTTGTCTACTGGTCCTCACTCTGAGAGTGTGGGTTCAAATCCAAACCCCAAATGTACTAGAATCTGTACCTTACAGAGAAAGTGCAATCCCAACTTTACTGTAAGTTACATCTAGCACTTTCAAAAGAAAATTATGTATTCAGTGAATAACCAGACCTTCAAACAAAGTACCTGTGGAATTGATGTCAAAAAAACTTTAACCACGGGGCTACCTTACTGCCCTTCAAGAAAGATAAACTGACCTTCCTTTCCCTGGAATAACAGTCCAACAGTAATTTGAACATCAAAATCTACCAGTTATCAATGTGATCCTTACAATCACACAGATGACAGACAGCCACATTGTTCCCACAACAACAGGCTAAGCACTAAAGGCTAAGGCTAAAACCAGCTTAAGTCTGGGCTAGTACAAGCAGCTGCACATACACATACATGCATGCACGTCGTCATATGAGCGAAATATTCTCAAGCACGACGTAAAACCCAATTTCACCTTGCCTCACCTCAGAACAACAGTACTGCAATGTTCTGAAAGGAGGCACAATGGATTTATGCTGCACCACAATAACCGAATGTACAGGAAATATCTACCTCTGGTCTGCCCATGGCTGTAGTCTAACACAACCTGACCTTACTGACAATGCAGGGAGCTATCAAATTATCATCATCAATATGTGAGCATCACATTTATTTCAGAGGCAACAGCTTGTCGGCAGACACACGAAGCTTGTCCTTGTTTTGTCAGGATGCACGACTCTCACTATGGCTGGGAAGTGACGGGCTAATGGCATATTTTCTGCAATTTCTGCAAATATTAGGTAAGAAACCCAAACACATAGAGTAATTACTTAGGCCATGAGGTGCATAATGTTCCTTTGAATTGACATTTAAAACCTGTAGAATTGATGTCAATTTGTCTCTATGTTCCAATCTTGATTTGTTCAAGTATATTTTTGGGGGATATTAGGTTAGAATAGGCCTGTTCAGGAGTGGTGACTCAGTGTATTGAGTAGTCAGAATTGCTAAATAGATTGTTAGCATGTCATCATGACCCAAGGGATTGATTGTTATAATATCACTGTACTGTCAGGTCCACATTGGATTGTTTACCTGTCACTTACATACACCTGAAATATCACCAAGCATTGAAATAAACAACTTGCTGGTGTGTATGTGTGCGTGTGCGTGTGCGTTTGTGCACGTGCATGCATGCGTGTGTGGAATGTGCGACTTACATTCAGAACTTTAATGAATCAATTTGTGCTGACTTGTAAGTAAATTTATGTCATCCAGACTAACCTTGCTCAAGAGCTTTCACTTTTTTCTGATTTGCGTTTGTTAAACATTATAAAATCAGTCATTGTCTGAAGCACTCATTATCTATGTTGACTCTCACAGTAGTGAAACAGCAGTGATGTCACCCAAGAATGGTATGACATCACAATCGAATACAATGAAAAACGTCACAATTCATTCCATATTGTCAGTTTAAAGTGGGAAAAATCAAAATTGTTCTGACAGTATATCAATAAAATGTAACATTAATAAATGTGATATCCTTTTCAACAACCTGACTGACTCTTCCTACGAATGTTGGATAGTACATAGACAGACATGCATCAAGAAAATTATTCATAATAAAAGTCGGAATCCATACTTTTCCTTATTTAAATCCCGTTATATTAGGTTTTTCAACTAGTCTTCACCATACTATTTGTTGTAAGAAATGTCTTAATTAAATTCAGTTGTTCACAACACCAGAGACAAAACTCCGGTTTGTTAATAGCATATGGTGGTTCAACTGTGTAGGGTCAATGATTAAGCAGCACAATTCACATCTCAAAGGATATTTTTGTCCAGAACTAAAAGAACATCACAAAAGAATTAGTTTAGGTGTATCAAAATTTAAAAACTTGAGGTATTTGTACGGTACCGGTAGGTCTGTTAACAAGTAGGTCCATAAAATTAAAATGACCAAAATTCATAGTCATTTGCAAAAATGAAACGGGTAGATAATAATTTCTAGACTAGAAAGGACAGATTATCACTTGCAAACACGAACCAACAATATTTTACAAATATGAAGAAAATGGAACCGGACTGATATAAAATCTAACTTGCTTAAAAAAACAGTCAAATGAACTTAAACTGATATAGAGATGTCTGGATGAATATAATTTGACATGCTCTGAAAACATCATACACAAAAAATTTAAGAACTAATCCTCACGTTTTACAAATTTTCTGAGCAAAGAAATTTGTGCCCTTTTCAAAGCAACCCCTGGATTGTCTGGAATAGACTTGATTATTCATAGATCATCGTCATATAGCTGGAATATTACTGATTGCAGCGTTAAACAACAAACATTCAAAACAACCCCTTCAACCTCAAGGCTTGGTCATAACAAACACATCCAACAACATCAATATATTGTCTTTTCAAGCACAAGTGAACCGATCGAATATACTGACAATGCCTGCAATGAATGCATAACAGATTCTCATAAAAATATTGCTAAAAGTAAATACAAAATCACGGCAGAAAAAGTAAACATGAAAATTAAAAAACTTACGAAAATCTTAAAAAGGAACCTCACACAGCCAAACACACCAATCTAGACTCCCGAAAGTGTCTGTCTGAATCTGAGAGTTCCACCCTGATGCAGTACTGATTAGCACTGCTATGTATAGCTCCCTGAGGTACGAGTGTGAGGGCCCGCGAGACATTCGTGTGTGCTTCTAGCCCATCAAGGTGTTTAATAAAGAAGTCCAGGTTGTAAGTTAACCATGGGGGTAAATAATTCAAACTAATCCATCTTAACTTCCAGAACCACAGTCGATGAGAACAGCTTCTTTGCAAATTGACCGACGAGGAGATTTACAAGATATGTATATATTTTTATTTATTTTCCAATCAATTGCAGACAGTTAGTCAATCTAACTCATTAAGTCACATCAGTTTAGCAGTCTGAGTTTGAATTCCACATGAATTGATTAAAGACAATGCCAGAAATTTAAACACTAAATAATTCCCAGCAATGCATGCTGGTCATATGGCAACATCAAGGTTGGATTACTGCAATGCGTTGTTGGCTGGATCTAGTTCTATCTCCCATCTGCGGAGGATCCAGAACAAGGCAGCTCGCATTGTTACAAGGACCAAACCTCGTGAGCATATCACGCCTGTTCTAAACAAATTACATTGGCTCCCAGTTCGGCTTAGGGTGGTGTACAAAGTCTTATCACTGACCTATGCTGCTCTGCACAATGATAACTCCCCTCTCTACCTAAAGGACCTGATCCAGATGTATACACCAGGACGATATCTCCGATCTCAGAATATGAAGAATCTCTCGGTTCCCTCAACATCCACTAAACTTGCTGATCGTGCCTTCTCCAAAGTTGCCCCTACCTTGTGGAACAATCTACCATTTGAACTCAAAACAGCAAGCTCTCACAAATCCTTCCAGAACTGTCTAAAAACTTTCCTGTTTAATCAAGCATATGATATGTAAATTATCTACCCTGTTCAGCGCTATTGAGCAGCTCAAAGTTGGAAAATAGGCGCTATACAAATTAATTATTATTATTATCCTTGGTGTGGAGGGTCAGATCTTGAGGATTATATTAGTGAGTGAGTTTAGTTTGGAAGTGCTTTTAGCAATATTCCAGCAATATCACAGCAGGGAACACCAGAAATGAGCTTCACACATTGTATCCATGTGGGGAATCGAACCTGGGTCTTCGGCGTGATGAGCGAACACATTAACCACTAGACTATCCCACTACCCAGTTGACTGCCCTCATGTACCAACAAGGTAGGTTCTCTTCATAATGTCACGGGCGGTGGGGTAGCCTAGTGGTTAAAGCGTTGGCTCGTCATGCCAAAGACCCGGGTTCGAATCCCCACATGGGTACAATGTGTGAAGCCCATTTCTGGTGTCCCCTGCTGTGATGTTCCTGGAATATTGCTAAAAGCGGCGTAAAACCAAACTCAGTCAGTCAGTCATAATGTCACTCACTGGAATGGCTGTTACAATCCTCAGTCACACGGCTGTAATACTGCTGAGAAATGAGCAGACAACAAAGAAAATTAAATTTCGGGAATCGAGACATGCCATCTTGACCACTTTTCATGCAAAATCTAAATACCGGTAAGCCTGACCTGGGCAAATAATTGATCAAATCACCTTCACTGTGACATAACCAATTTCACTGACTGTCAGTCTGACCAAGACCCATATATAACAATATACAACATAACTACAATGAAACATTCCATAAACTAAGCCTCAAAACTAATTATGACTGATATAGAATCAGGTTACACCACAGCACTCAACGATTTGTAATGATCGTCTTTACCACGACTCAGTGCACCTAGCTACCTGCAGTTAACGATCACACATTTCACCTGCTACCTGTCTGTCTGTAATGTACAACATTTACAAACCTTCCTGCCATCCTTAACATCAGTACTTGAACACAAAAGCCACTTGGTCATATTTCTGCAGTCATATAAATCCAAGTGATTTGATTCCCATTTAACAGGTAATGTTTATAAACGTGGTCACTTCTGTATAGTGCCTTGTTTGACAGAGAGCCACAACTTCAACATGAAGGGACTTGTCACAGTGTTGTGGCTATACTGTTGACAACCAAGCACCTCATTATAGCGCGGTCACACACTGCCTCACTATAAGGTACTTCTATTGAATTGGGTACAGCTGAGTCAATGTGGGACATTAAGATCAATTTTTGAATTTATCTATCCAATTATATATACGTGTAGGCTTGTAATCAACTACCATTGAACTATAACTATGTTCTTTATGGGATACTGGGCGAGATTGCAATATCCTTAAAATAAAGAGTCCAATAGAGACAAATTTGATGTTGAGATTTGAAATAAAAATCTACAGAGCTCCAGATAAGATTTAGTTCATGTGGGTACTGTACCCACTGAATATTTTTGGAGTGGGTATTATGAATGTTGAGTGGGTATTTCATTTTCCGTTACCCACTGCTTTCAAATATGTGTGTATTTCGGTCATTTTACTCACCTAAGTATTATGTCATTGAGTAAGTTTACTAAGCAGGTATGTTCTGCCATATGTCATACCTAATCAAAACCAACTTAAATATAATGGAAATGATTTCATTAAAAAAATCACTCATTTTATACTGACAGTACAACACTTGTCCTATACTATCAGTACAACTTGAGAGCAATCGATGTCGTTTTCATTACGCAAGCGATTTTTATAAATATATTCCGTACGCATTTGTTTTAAACATTTTGCGTATTTAACATTTTAAATGCGTAGTTGGTACACAACATTTATTTTTCAATGCGTAATTGGAAATTTTCCATGCGTATTTTACCCGGATACGCAGCTTATCTGGGCCACTGAATCTATTTTGAATTCTATAATTGCATCATTTATCAACATGAATCATATTCTAATAACATATCTAATAAACATTTTAAGTTTGTAATTTACCTGACAAAATGGATCAACATTAATCAAATTGGTATGGAAACATAAACAACATGTCCGGATCTGTCAGCTGAACTGGATTAGGAATCAAAGATCTCCAGTTTAATAACAATATTATCTTAAAATTTGTGCATGAGGCCAAACAAGCTGAATTCCTTGGTACAGACTTTCCATGACCTAAAGCTTAGAGGGAGGAATCAATTAGAACAAGTATTAGATAAAAATTAAGTTGACTTAAGTTACTGATCATAACAAAAATGTAACTTTCAACTAAAGAACATGTACAAAAAAAATTGAAGTATAATCCCCAGGAAGTAGAGAACAAAAACTGGAATACATGTGGATCTACTGGTCGGGGCACAGATAAACCACAGTTGAGTAGATGCTTGTTTCAAGCAAGTATGGTGTAAACATCATACATATATGATTATAAAAATATGGAAAATTGTGCATAAAATTTCATTTTTTCGTAGTTGAAATGTAAATTTCTTTTCCGCTTAAGAACATATGGAAAGGTTTGAAAAAAATCATTTACATTTTACAAGAATCCCTAAACAAGAACACAAACACATCTAGCCTAAATGGAATCCTAAAATGCAAAAACTGAAAAGCTCCTACAAAATCTCTGAGAACACAATCCCAGCATTTCACCAGTTTACTGGTATGTACAGGAAGCACCTGCTCCAGGTTACATGAGTTCCACCCTCTGAAGCAGCATGTCATTAATAATACAGAGCCTCTTCCTCTCACCTCACTGCTGTTTTGTTGAGACTGATGGAGATAATCACACTACATACTGGGGAAGGGGCTGATATAGTATTGATGATCTCCTGCACTGGGCACAAGAAACTCACTCGTGAGGACTTCTTGGATTTCTGAGGTAAAGCTGATTCTATTTTTTATGATTTTACCATATAATATTTGTCACAGCAGTAAATAAGATATTGTCGAATGGATGTGAGTAACCTGGGTCTAAATTAGACAAGCTGGGTCTAAGTTAGTAATCTTCCCCCAAAACATTGTCTCTGTTAACATGACTGACACAAGTACCCCATCAAAGTACTCCCTACAATCGGCTGACCTTCCCTAGCACAGGTTTAAACCAGTGATTATTGGAAAATTGATTGTAAACTAGTTTTATGTGTGAGAAAGCCTAATGCCTAATTCATGTCATATTGAACTTAATAGTATAGCTTCATTTGGTCAGAGCTATCATAACTCATAAAAGAATTTGAAATTTGTGGCATCTCACAATTTGTAAAGAAAAGTAGATCCACACAAATTATCTTCATCATAATACTTTTGTACCAAAATCCAAAATTTGAAATCAACGTTCCTTTCCACTTAGCATATGTAATAAAAATTTATCAGCACAATGTAGTCACTTTCTGTTCACATTTTGCTCACTAGGTTGGTCAGTAACCAAGAAAGCAAATGATGTCATCTATTGCATAATAAATCTGTAGCATTCCAGAATGATGTCATGTCAGCCTCACGACTGTAAGCATTCCCTCCAATAGAGTTCTACAGAAAATTAATAATAACTTTTGTACATTACCAAATTGGTAAATATCTAAAAACAAAGACTTATCACTAACAACAGGAAATAGAAAAAAATGAAATTCATCTGACAAATATACACAAGCTATATGATAACTTTAGTAGCTAGTACTGAAACTTCACAGTGTAACTTCCCACTGAAGCTCAGAGATGTAATCAATGCCTGCTGATGGAGTACATCATTTAAATAATGTCCTTCAGTTTGTTACAAATACTGTGAGCTACATCTGTAACATCTGTATAATCACCATGGATACCACATACTGTTCAGAATAGCTCAGTTTTTACATCACCATGCTGTCACGCTACGTGCGCATATTAGCATCAAGCTTACACACTGACTGAACATGATATATTTTACTGCTCATACACTAGTACACGAGGGGCATGATTCAGTTGGAAGCCATGTCATGATACACTTTCAGGGATAGAAATGTAAAGTGAAACCTGTCTAAACCGGCACACCACGGGACCGAAATAAAATGCCGGTTTAGACAGGATGCGGGATTAGACAGTGACAATCATTTTCCAACATGGCTGCCATTTACACTCGACAATCACTTAATCTAGAGTGCCGAGAGGAGTGTATTGGATTAAGGGACCCTGATTGGACTGCTCATACCCATGTTGGCTTAGAGCGTTAGATTCACCGTGCAATCACTACTTCCTGATTATCTAGCGTGCCAAGAGGATTAATTAGTGTATTGGATTATGGGTCCTTGATTGGACTGCTCATACCCATGCCGGTTTAGACAGTGTTAATTACAGTTACAATTGCTTGTTGGGATTTGCTTCTAAAATGGCGGGACCAAAATTTTATGTCGGTTTTGACAGTGTGCCGGATTGGACAGGTGCCGGTGTTGGCAGGTTTCACTGTACTTGCTTCCCTGTGCCACAGGGCACTCATTAAGACGTTTGCCAATTGAAAAATATAGTATATATCAATTCTCCATGTGAAAGTGAGTGTGGCTTGTTGCACTTATATCGTGATGTGTGTGGTTTTACTTGTCCAGACTAGTTTTACAGAGCTAGCCAACTGATATAGATACAATGCTGAAATTTCACATATATACCCACTCAGACACAGTATACTGACTGCAAGCACACCAGTCTTTGTTTTTCTTCCCATAATGCCGAGCCCCACGCAGGGAAACAAGAAACATCTTTCAATATCTCATGGTGTGATAAGGCCGGGAAGCATACCCCTTGCACTCTCTAGGCTGAATTTCTATGTACCAGACTGCAGAGCCATGTCAATCTCATTTAATAACAATTTAACATGCGTACAATCGCCCTTTGCGTAAAGGTCTGACGACCATGCCATAGAAAGCTGCAACAAATGAGTGAACTTAACCATCCAAAGTTAATCCTGAAATGATTCATTTGAAGACCTCTTCTACAATGATTTTAAGAAACATATAAGCCATACAATTCACACTGTTATACCCCTACTGGTAATCCGTTTGTGGTCAATAGCACAGCGTCCATTTCTTAAGCTCCTTAATGAGATCCAGAAATTACACATGCTGGGCTTGAAAGCTTCTTGTTCTAAGAGTTCAGAAGCCTCTAATCTGATTGGCTGATTATTCACCTGACATGACCTCCTATTGAGGAGCTGTGAGGTCTTTAAACAGAGAGGTTCCATATTGGAGTAAAAAATGTTTAAGGTTTGATACAATGCTAAACAGTCTCACCTGAGCTCCATCCCGACGAACCTTCATCAGGTGAGGCTCCTCAGCGTCGGCGTTGGTCTTGCGGTTGCAGCAGCGGCAGGCAATACAGATGATGATCCAGATGATGATGATGAGTGCAATGGGTCCCAGCACTGCAGCAATGATCCACAACTTCCTGTCCTCAGCAGGAGGTTGGACCGGGATAGGCACATAGGCTGGGAGAAGGAGACAGAGATCATTTTAAATTCTGATCAGGACACATTAAGATAGGATTGGTCTTCAGCAACACATGCTTGTCATAAGAGGCGATTAACAGAATTGTGTGGTCAGGCTTCTGACTTGATTGACACATGTCATTGTATCCCAAATTGCGTAGATCGATGCTCAAGATGTTGATCACTGGATTTTCTGGTCCAGACTTGATTATTTACAGACTATCACCATATAGCTGGAATATTGCCGAGTGAGTCATTTAACAAACAAAATTAATTCATTTCAGTGCAGACAACACACATTATTTAACCTCCAACCTTGAGATGCACTTGTGTTCCATCTTAGCATCTTCCACACATCTGACACTATATGTACGTATGTTTTGCAAGAGTGTTTATATATAAAATACATACAGTTATGTTCTGCCGTAGCTTCTATGCTATATTCAAGACTACAAGTACTTACGTTCTGCTTTAGAGTCTACAACATATCCGAGTCCAAGGGCTACTTCCTGGTGGTCAAGCAGCTCCAGGGCGTCCACCATCTTGTTTGATGGAACCATCTTCCCATCCTTCTCAGCCAGGTAGGTCAGTTTGACATTGTTGGAAGTTGACTCGCGCTCAACATTCACAACCTGCAAACATCAAGTCAAGGTCATATATGATAGATATATCGTGGATTGAACGTGAAAGCATGAACAGGTTTCAGGGTTGCTGGAGCTTACCCAAATAATCAATTCTTGCTCAATTGTGAGTTAATTACTAATATTTCCCTCACATTTTGCCGCAGAAGTATTAAGTTTAAAAAATATTTACTTTGAAAAGATACAAATGATTGCTTGATATTTGATTTACCCTGACAATTACTGTTATAATTCACATATTGAATAACACTTTACTATGTAATTAGAGATGAAATACTATATTTACCTGAAAACATAAAACTAATCAAATTGTTTTTGCTAGATCTACTAATTAACATTATCAGCGAGAAGATTTGTAACAAATAGAACATTCAAAACCACATGTCTTAATTTCTGACAAATACAATCATATATTTTAGAAACATTTCACTCCATGGTGTTAATAAAAAGTCATAAAGTAATAAACAGAAAAATCTAGGGAAGCTGTTATCCCAAACAAAAGTGAATTGCATAGTCAAGGCGAGATATGACTGTTGCTTGAGTGAGAGTTTTGGCGGTTTCATCTGTCTTAGTTTACCAATCTGATGAAGATGATAGTGAGAAGACTGGCACATTTGGGTGACCTGCTTGTTCATGGTCATGCATTCAAAATTCAGTCTCGGATGCCATTTCAGCACAAAATGTGATGTCAAAAATGACTGCGTATATTTTACAGACACTTCTAGTAATTATAAGCTACCTACAGTTATTTCCCTTTCATTAAATACTGGGCACTGAGTGGTATTTCACTACTGCTTCATTTTACAATGGGTTACCTCCCCTTAACCAGACATTTTTCATTATTTTGACTACAGTCAGTTTTGTTTTTCCCACATGTAACCGTGGAATTATCTGCCATACTAAACTATACAGCTTTGTTACGAAATGCGCAGAAAATAACTGGTTCACATCCAACTGAAAGCATTTCTATGGCTACATCAAAGATCACATGCCTGTAGCTTGACACTGCCATCAGGAGACGATGCATATCGTTTGCGACGCTTGAGAGGCTGGTACGTCCCATTGTTAATCATCTGCTCGCGGGTGAAGGCCTCTTCGTACACCCCGGCCAACCTTTCCTCCATCTTATCCTTGAAGGCAGCAGAGCTCACGTCTTCTGACTGCCGCACCTTGATCACTGTAAAAGTGAGAGTGTGTGAGGGAGTGACTTGGGTTTAACACTCCTTTTGACAGTGTTCCATGTATATAGAGGCATGTATGCTTTCAGTGGAGGAAAGCACAAGTGATGTAGGTTAGTAATGATTTGTTTAGTGTGAAAACCAGGAGGAAGGGTATGGTGCTGATCAGGGCTCCAGATAATTTTTCAACATCAGGAGTACGTACTCCTTATTTTTTCAATACAGGAGTACTGGAAAACCTTAAGAGTATATTTAGAGTACTGAATGGGATTTAATGGAGTATCAGTAATCTTGTGCTTCGTTTCATGTACGCACCACAACATTGCAATAACAAATAAAACAATACATTTTCAGATAAATACGTCTGTAAATGATTCTAAGACCGTACACCATTGCTGTGGTGCGTATCCGCTACGTTTTCCAAATTATTTCCTATCGTATCGTACTTATTTTATATCCGTACATATGCCGATACGACCCTTATCTGGAGCCCTGGTGCTGATGAACCTAGAAATAAAAGTCTGGCAATCTGGATTCAAACCCATGTTTATAAGTTTCTTGTATGCCCAAGGGATACAATTCTGCACAGAACATGTGACACAACAGATTACTATTCCACATGTGTTCCACCAGTAATAGTTGACGAAGCATGTATTGAAACATATTTCCTTCAAGTGTTTGGTTGCGCCCTTAGAATTTCATCCTACCAACAGAAACTGAACGTAGAGAAACAAATAAAGGAACACAGGAAAATTCAAGTGTTCCTTTATTATTTTGCAGTTTTCATCACTACAGCGCTATTCAAAGATTGTGATGAAAACTAGAAAATATTAAAGGAACACTTGAATTTTCCTGTGTTTCTTAATTTGTTTCTCTACGTATATTATTATTACATACTCTAAACTCACCTGTGTTCACCCAGAATTCCTTGAGAGCATCACTGGTGTTGAGTGATGGGGTAGTGGTTGGTATTGGCGGCAGGACAGACGATGATGGTGTTGCTGAAGATGATGATGTGGGAGAAGGGAACAGTGATGACGACAAATCCATAACAGAGCTTGATATTGGTTCAGTTGAGCTTGGAACAACTGTAGGGATGACATCAGTTTGAGTACTTGTATCCACTGACACAATGCTGGATATGTCAGTCTGTGAGGATGAAACCATGGAAACAGAACTTGAAAATATCACATTCGTATCACTTGCTGGTATTATCACAGATGAAGATGGAGACAACACTGGGCTGCCTGATATGGACGATGACAGGATAGCAGTAGGCACAAAAGTGGTTGAATCTGGCTGTAAAGAACTGTCAACTGATGACCTTGACTCAAGGGAGGTTACTCCAGTAATTGAAATCGATTCTGATACCATGCTGCTCAGAGATGGTAACACTGTAACAGGCACTGAGAAGTCTGAGATCTGAGATGTATCTACTGAGACCTCAGCAAAACTCGTCGTAGTTGCAAATAATGAGCTGCCTAACACAGATACTGTTGTCTGAAATATGACTGAAGACACATCCGAAAATTTAGATGATGGCAAAAATATTATCACACTACTGCTCACAGATGAGGATATTGTACTGCTTTCCAAGAAATCAGAACTTAGGGATCCAAATATGTCTGAGGATGCTCCTGAAGGTTCTACAGATGAGGAGGAGCTCACGAACTGAGGAGATCCAGTAGCTGAGATCTGGGACATCAGAGCACTTGGTGTTGATATGTCACTTCTTGTGAATAAAGATGATATGTCTGTATATTCTTGGCTTGATATGATTGACAAAGAACTGACAATTCCAGTTGGTGGAACTGGGGCAAAGCTGCTCATTGGACTGGATGGAGAAAAACTTGGTGAAGGAGAAAATAAGCTGGTCTCAGATAAACTTTGGAATGGCAAAATGACACTTGTCAGAAATGAGCTCTGTGAGGGCAAATTGGTCCTTGTTTCAAAGGGTATTTGTGTAGGCAAATTTGTACTTGAGTCAAATGAAGATGGTGAAGGCAAATTGGTGCTAGTTCCAAAAGATCCTTGAGTTGGCAAACTGGTACTTGTGTCAAATAAAGACATTGAAGGCAAATTGGTGCTTGTTTCCAATGGACTGGGTAGAGGCAACATAGAACTTGTGTCAAATGAAGATAGTGAAGGCAAATTGGTGCTAGTTTCAAAATGTCCTTGTGATGGCAAATTAGTACTTGTGTCAAACAGAGATGAGAGATAATTTGTGCTTGTTTCAAACGGTCCCTGTGTAGGCAAAATGGCACTTGTGTCAAATGAAGACATTGAGGGCAAATTGGTGCTTGTTTCAAAAGGACTGGGTTGAGGCAAAATGTTACTTGTATCAAATGAAGATAGTGAAGGCAAATTGGTGCTTGTTTCAAAAGGACCTCGAGTAGGCAAAATGTTACTTGTGTCAAATGAAGATAGTGAAGGCAAATTGGTGCTAGTTTCCAATGGACTGGGTTGAGGCAACATGGAACTTGTGTCAAATGAAGATAGTGAAGGCAAATTGGTGCTTGTTTCAAAAGGACCTCGAGTAGGCAAAATGTTACTTGTGTCAAATGAAGACATTGAAGGCAAATTGGTGCTTGTTTCAAAAGGACTGGGTTGAGGCAACATGGGACTTGTGTCAAATGAAGATAGTGAAGGCAAATTGGTGCTTGTTCCGAAAGGTCCTTGTGATGGTAAAATAGTACTTGTGTCAAATATAGACAATGAGGACAAACTGGTGCTAGTTTCGAAAGGTGCTTCTGATGGCAAACCACTACTAGATTCAGTCACAAGTGAAACTGTTGAAGAGGCACTGAAGCTGCCCAGTGACAAGGTTGTAGGCACAGGAACAAATCCTCCAGAATCAGAGCTGACATCTGAGGCAAATAAACTCCCAGTTGATGTCAAGAGGATGTCAGATCCAGAAGGAACAATGTCAGAGGCTGATGATCCTGAGAACGTTGGTAAAACTATTCCTCCTATGGATGAGTTTGTAGACAGATCTGAGCTGCTGACCAGGAATGCTGAACTGCCTGTTGGTGTAGGTGACTGTGAAAACAGGAATGTACTTGGCTTTGTGGTATCAATAAAAGTTGAATTGCCTTCACTTGAACTTGACACTGAACTAAAATCAAAAGCTACTGAAGTGGAGACAGTAAAGCTTTGTGATCCAGTTGCAGTCATGGACAGAAGCTCTGTAGGTATGGAGTCACTGAAGAAAGTTGTCTGGCTTTCCATCAAGGTGATGATTGGGATCGAAGGTCCACTGCTTAACTCGGATTCTGATGCTGACAGTGAAGATGCTGCATAACTCATGGATCCCATGTTTGATGACACAATATCACTGAATCCTGACAATGACTGTGTTTCAAAGAGTGACGATGATGGTTTCAGAAGAGATATATCAAACGAGGAAATTGCAGATGACTGTTTAATAGTTGGGAGGATAACAATGGGAGCTGTAGAAGGCTTTAAAACTGTGCTGAATTCAAAGGAGGCACTCTCAGCAGTGCTGATGAATGGGTTAGGGAAGGTGAAGGAAGGTGTTGAAACAGCTGTAGCAAATGGAGATCCAGTTGATACATCCACACCAGAGGGCAACAGAAGAGAAGAATCTGAGAATCTGCTTCCTGGAATGTCAGTAGTGTCTGGTAATAGTTGAGAGCTGATCAAAGTGGTCTGGACACTTTCACTTGCATAAAGCGAGTCACTGATGTATGTTCTAGATGACTCAGTTCCTGTTGCTGTGTCAGATCCCATGATGATTGGTAGTAGAGGAGATGATGCTATGGACTGCCCTTCAGATCCAGAAGTCGATGGTTGAACTGTACCCAAAACTGACTCTTGAGATGATGTAGATAATGAGTCACTCAGAAGTGTGATACCAGTAAATTCAACCTCAGATGATCCAGGCCCTTGTACACTTGATGACAGTTGTGTCTGAGGAACTGTGGAGGAGACATCACTGATTGATGGAACAACAATAACAATACTTTGGCTGGAGGAGAATATTTCTGTTGATGGAGGAGAATCTGAGGCTTGACTTGATACAAGATCAGTTTGAACAGTTGATCCTGACATTGTTCCAAAGACATAAGTTGCAGATGAACCGACAGATCCTGAATCTGGATTCGATATCCTGCTGAACTGGTATAAGCTTGAGGCAGCGAAATCAGTTGAACTTTGGGAAACAGACACTTCACTTGAGCTGAAAGCTTCACCTACGACACTGCTGAACTGAGCTTGGAACAAGCTTGAATCTGCTGTTTCTAGCAAACTAGAAGAAAGTATTCCATGTGTTTCATGTGGTGTGAAGGACATACTGGCCAGTTGGGTAGATGATGACTCTACCGACACAACTGTAAAGACAGCAGTTGGGTTAGGTGTACGGAATGTAGGTTGCGCCGATTCAGTGTTGGACATAAAAGTTGACACTATACTCAGACTTGGTATCAAGGACTCTGTAAAGGACGATTCCTGGATGCTAGCATCAGTTAAAGCAACATCAGATGATGAGGCTGACCCAGTACTGGGAGCAGTCACTGACAAAGTGTATGTGAATATGGTGTCCGACTGATGGGAACTTGATCCCAGTACTCCAGCTGTTGGTGCCGCATCACTGGACTCAGATGAAAACAAGCTTTCTGAAATCACACCTGTCTGTTGCTGAGATCCTGAAGTAGAAAGGAAACTTTGCATATTTTCACTACTTCCGTAGGTTTGAAATGAACTTCCACCAATTCTAGATGACAGAATCTCTAGTGTTGATGTCACAGATTCGGTTGCAAGATTTATCTCTTGTGGGAATGAACTAGCCAATGTACTGTCACTGATACTTAAAGATGGAAAAGTTTCACTTTGTCTTCCAGATATCTGCTCAGATGACAGGCTGTTTGTGGAAGCAATAGTATCTATACTTGGTGTTTCAGTTTGGGTCTGAAGTTCCACACTGTTTTCCGATGTATACAATATTTCACTAGTCAGTCCAAATAAGGCACTTGAGGCATCAAATAACAGTGTGGTCTGTGACTGGTCACTGAATGAACTGGATTCTTTTGATTGTAATTCAGATAAGAACGATGTAACATGTTCGCTTATGCTTGCAGTCTTAGAAGGTGAAGAACTTTGTGGAAGGAGTGTACTAAGCTCTGGGATGGCATAACTCGATGATGAGATCACATCTTCAGACACAGGGGCAAATATACTTGTGGACAGGCTACTTGCATCATAGCTGGCTGCTATAGACAGTGATATACTTAATGTAGGACTGTCTGTTGAGGTTGCAAAGATTTGGTCTGAAGTCTCTGGTATTTGACTAGGTGTTGTTATTTCTGATAAAGATTGCACATTAGTTGACACAAAACTAAAACTATTTGTATTTACAGACACAGGTGAAGGCGTTCCTTCTGAACTTTGCATAGAAGATATTGTATTGGTTGTTATTAGGCTTTCTGTGGAGTCAATATTTCTTGTACGGAATGTATTTAACACAGATTGGTCAGATGATGGGAAAGAGCTCTCTGTGGGCACAGCAGAAGTTTCTGAGGGCACATCAGAACTCTCACTTATATCTTGTGTAGCTATAGAGCTAGTTGACAATGGAGAAGATTGTATATTCGAAGATGCTTCTAAGACAGATACCAGAGAAGTTTGATCACCAAATGATGAAGCACTAGAATCCAGGACCTCAGTACCATCAAATGTTGAGGCTGGTGCGACAGTTGAAGATGCAGTTGAAGAAGCTGAGGCACTTGACAGCTCCGACTGAGCACTGAAGAGTAAACTCGATGATACTGGTGCACTGGAAAGTGCTGGTGACACAGATGTTGATAAAATTTGTCCAGATGACACTGAGTTCTCTGATGACTGTACTGCAGAATATGAACTTGGCGGTATTTGCCCTGTTGTTTGTAACACAGAACTTGAAGTTAATTGGACTTCAAGAGCAGCACTTGATGATATTTGCCCTTGCAGCACAGAACTTAATTGATCCTGTAGCACAGAGCTTGAAGTTACCTGCTCTGGCAGCACAGAACTTGAAGTTAATTCATCTTGTAGCACAGAACCTGATGTTACCTGCTCTTGCAGCACAGAACTTGAAGTTAACTGGCTTTCAAGAGCAGCACTTGATGATATTTGCTCTTGTAGCACAGAACTTGAAGTTAATTGATCTTGAAGCAAAGAACTTGATGTTACCTGTTCTTGTAGCAAAGAACTTGATGTTACCTGTTCTTGTAGCACAGAACTTGATGTTATCTGTTCTTGTAGCACAGAACTTGATGTTACCTGTTCTTGTAGCAAAGAACTTGATGTTACCTGTTCTTGTAGCACAGAACTTGATGTTACCTGTTCTTGCAGCACAGAACTTGATGTTACCTGTTCTTGTAGCACAGCATTTGATGTTGCCTGTTCTTGCAGCACAGAGCTTAAAGTTAATTGATCCTGAAGCACAGAACTTGATGTTATCTGTTCTTGTAGCAAAGAACTTGATGTTTCCTGTTCTTGTAGCACAGAACTTGATGTTACCTGTTCTTGCAGCACAGAACTTGATGTTATCTGTTCTTGTAGAACAGAACTTGATGTTGCCTGTTCTTGCAGCACAGAGCTTGAAGTTAATTGATCCTGAAGCACAGAACTTGATGTTATCTGTTCTTGTAGCACAGAACTTGATGTTACCTGTTCTTGTAGCAAAGAACTTGATGTTTCCTGTTCTTGTAGCACAGAACTTGATGTTACCTGTTCTTGCAGCAAAGAACTTGATGTTACCTGTTCTTGTAGAACAGAACTTGATGTTGCCTGTTCTTGCAGCACAGAGCTTGAAGTTAATTGATCCTGAAGCACAGAACTTGATGTTATCTGTTCTTGTAGCACAGAACTTGATGTTATCTGTTCTTGCAGCACAGAGCTTGAAGTTACTTGATCCTGAAGCACAGAACTTGAAGTTAATTGATCCTGTAGTGCAGAACTTGATGTTATCTGTTCTTGCAGCACAGTACTTGAAGTTAATTGATCTTGTAGCACAGAACTTGAAGTTAATTGATTCTGTAGCACAGAGCTTGATGTTATCTGTTCTTGCAGCTCAGAGCTTGAAGTTAATTGATCCTGAAGCACAGAACTTGATGTTATCTGTTCTTGCAGCTCAGAGCTTGAAGTTAATTGAGCACAGAACTTGAAGTTAATTGATCCTGTAGCACAGAACTTGATGTTATCTGTTCTTGCAGAACTTGAAGATTGATTTTCTGTTCCTGTAGCACAGAACTTGATGTTATCTGTTCTTGCAGCACAGTGCTTGAAGTTAATTGATCCTGTAGCACAGAATTTGAAGTTAATTGATTCTGTAGCACAGAACTTGATGTTATCTGTTCTTGCAGCACAGAACTTGAAGTTAATTGATCCTGTAGTGAAGAACTCGATGTTATCTGTTCTTGCAGCACAGAACTTGAAGATATTTCCTCTTGTAGAACAGCACTTGATGTTCTTTGGTCTTGTGACACAGAAATAGGTGCAATATTTTGTTCTTGTGCAAAACTTGATGCAGTTTGCTCTTGTGAAACAGAGCTTGATGCAATATCATTTTGTGAAGGAGAACTTGATGCAGTTTGCTCAGATGCCTGCTCCAGCAACACATAAGTTGATGTATATTGCTCAGATGACACTGATTCTTGTGACCTAGAACTTGATTCAACATTTTGTATGGATGACTCTGGTATTACAAGTCTTGATGAAACAAAACTATTGCTTGGTGAAGAATCAACAACACTATCAGTTCTGGAAAGTTGAAAACTGCTCAGTGCATCTGACAGAGAGCTTTGGTCTGAGCCCAAGCTTGGCAAATGTGTAGAACTTGTTAAGGCTTCATTGAAGGATGTTTCTAGTTGAGCTGATGTTGGTGAAGTTTCTGAAGATGTGTCACCAGTAATGGCTGAGAGCACAGTGCCTCCTTGTGGTGCTGATGTAGTCAGAAGGTCAAAGCCTGATGTTGGAATGTCAAGGTCAGTCACTGTCCTGCTTGGTTCCAGCAACAATAATGTAGTTGAATCTGTGGACAGAAAACATGAAATAAGTCCAATGACTGACTGACTGAGTTTAGATTTACGCCGCTTTTAGCAATATTCCAGCAATATCACTGCAGGAGACACCAGAAATGGGCTCACACATTGTGCCCATGTGGGGAATCAAACCCGGGTCTTCGGCGTGATGAGCTAACGCTTTAACCACTAGGCTACCCCACCGCCCCAAATAAGTCCAATGAATTAAATAAGACTATTATAAACATACGGTGAAGTGAAATAGACTTCAACATAAGGTTCAAGATTTTTGCACATACTTAGCAAAGTGCACGTGTGCATTGTGCCTGCTTCTACTTAACTCTGACTAATTCAAGGTTAATACAGGTTATCAGCCATGAAATTTAAGGTTTCTTCAATGCCCAATCCACAAGTTTAAGGCCCTATAGAGACACACAGAAATATAAATATTTGAAAAAAACAGGGGAAGTAACTCTTTGATACATCGGTACTGCTGCAAAAGTTTTGCTTTGCAATCGAGATAGATAACACATATTGTCATTGCTAGGTATCTTTAATGGAATAATTTCCTGTAAAATCATAACTTCACAAGTTTTGTAAAATTTAGCGTCTTTTCAGGGCAAATCACTTGCAATTAGGGCCTTATCAAGTCTTAAACAAATTAAAATCTCAGTGGTTTCTAATGAAATAATACTTTCAAAACTCTTTATAAGCATAACAAATTTCACTTTTGCTAAACTCACGAAATTATTTAGCGTAATATCACATCATATTTTCCTTATCATTGCCAAAAGGTCCCATTGTTCATTGGTGAAATGATCTGGAAACCTCAATGCTCACTAAGATGCACAGGTTGGTGTTGTCAGTGGGTTTTTCATTCCGTTTCAGTTCTGATGCACTCAGTCTGTGAACAAACTGTTCACTATGATCCAATGAGTTGTTCAGGATATTGCTTGGCATAAATAACAAATATAGTTCAGGTTCAAACAAGAAACAAAACCTTGTACACACTGTTACAACAACGCATCAAGAGCCTCCCACAAAAATTTCAAACTAACTTCAGGGGTGTTGACAAACTTTCAAATAATTATCAAGACCAACAAATATGATTTTTTTCTCCCTCCGGTCTAAAAGAAAAGCGTCAACTGATGGTCCCAGAACAATGACTATAGTATTGGGCTTTCACACAATGACAGAAATGGTTAAATCCTATCTCAAACACACTCAGGCTTAATTCCTGAAATTGTGTTGTGTCTTGTTTGTCTTGCTTCTGTGCACAGTAAACTGTAACCTGCTACTAGGCATTCGCTGGCCCCGAAGTGGGAAGATTCTTCAGATATCCCCCTAGGCCTCTCAACACAAAGACAGGGACCTTTAGCCCCTATTCCAGCCCCTCAGATTACCAAGTCACGCCTCCTCCTAGTGTCAACATCCACAAAAAACAAAGGAGTAGAGAGGCCACATGAGATCCTTCAACATTTCGTGACAATGGCACCAATAATTTTTTTACAAAGAAGAGCAAAAAATTGAGAAACCTCTTTACAAAACTCTTGTCGCACAATATTGCTGCAGATCCTAAATAAATACCCCTGTTAAACAGGACTGAGTAGTGCGAAGATGGTACAAAATTTTATTTCGTACTTGAAGGATTAATAGTACATGTATGTATTCCTGCATTTCATATCCCAGCAACCTATGCTTGGGGCAGGAGGCGCTAAATGGATAACTGACTTGGTTGATCGCATCATACAATTATGGTGTAAATGACTGCTCATAATTATTATCCATCACTGGATTGTCTGGCCCACAACTATTTCAGGCTCCCATCATATAGCTGGAATATTATTAAGTGTAACATTAAACACGGACAATATAATTTGTCCTGATCTTGAAGTTGGTTGGGAGGAAAAATATAATTGTTATCATCATCATCATCATCATCATCATCATCATCATCATCATCAACCTGAGATTTAACAATAGCATGAATAAGGATATTTACTTTCACTTGGGGTTATTTTCCATTTTAGTTCAACCTGTCTTCGTTCAGTGAAGTGACAGAGTTTCATTGCCAGTCTGTCTTATGATGAACAGAGTGAGTGAGTGATTATTGTTTAACTGAATCAGCAGTCTTGCAGTATGTTGAGTATGACAAGCAGGTACAAAGGACCTGTTCTTCCCATGAATGCCTGCGAGGCTGTCCTACATGAAGCCAGACAGAGGCTTCCTCCTCACATTACACAATCAAGGAAATTGTCAATCTTGTCTTGAACCTTTTTTATAGGCATGTTACAGGCTGCGGAAATTGTCTGTTTGACTAACACAGTTAAATGTCAATGTCCAACATTTACCTGACATTTGTGGGAGACAGTTCAATTAGCTAATCAGCTTTCCAAGTGAGGATGTGAACCGCCACATCTGACATTTGCATGTTTGTCAAAGACGTTAAAAAGCTTAACTTACTGGTTTTTCACTTTGTTTGTAGACCTCCAGAAACAAAAAAAGCCTTTTGGAACAGAAAGTTTGTACAGTTTGCTTCTTTTAGAATTTATTTTGTACTGATAAAAAATATTATGTCTACAAATTCCTAACTGTGCTAGAATTAAGTCTGAACTTCAACATTTTCAAGGATTTTTGTCACACCTGACGATAATGTGTTCAGTAAAAGTGTGTTTGTTGTTTAATTCAGCAAGTTTCCACCTGCACTATGGTGGTCTGGTAGCAACATGGTAAACAATCTAGTCGGGACTAGCAATTAAAGTTATCACTGCACTAAAATAAGCTCACAAAAAACTCAACAATTTCAGGATACTCATTATTTCTAAAACTTGACTTAAAAATGATTAACAATATGACATATTTATCATTTTTGTTAGCAGTTACAAAATTCTGTGAACAGAAGTGTGTCCTTCAGATAGACTTTTTTATTCATATTTAAGGCAAGAAACATATAAAAAAAACACACATTAATTTGCATTTATAAATCAAAATTATGTTTGCCACAGTTTTTCAGAAAATGAGCAATAAATCTGGAAACTAAATAGTAAGAATTATCTTTTATTAAAATTGAAAGTGTTTCTGTGAATAATCACATCTGGACCAGCCAATCTAGTGATTGACATAATGAGCATGATCAACGTCATAGGAGTACGGTATGATGCCACACTATAAACCAAATTGCCTGGTCTGAAAACCCAATCCCCCTGTCACCTCTGATGTCCAGCATCAATGGCTACCAGTTATAATAAGAACTGCCTTGTTGTACTTACATGATGGTAATAAAGGTTGCTAGCTAAAATACAGCAATAATTACAAATAAACTTTTTCACGAGCAACAACAAAATTTGAAACCCAATCATCCCTGAATATTGACATCTGATTGATTGACAAGATAACTTAAGCTTAATCAAACAGCTTTTTATGTTTTCTATCAATTTTTAATTTGTAAGAATATTTTACAAGGGCAGATTGAAGCAAATCAGTAAGATAAATCTATTGTACCAGTATCACTTCTGGTATACACTCAACCCTGGCTCTAATGCAGGAAAGGCGGTAGAGTAGCCTCATGGTAAAGGCGTCCGCTCATCACGCCGAAGACCCGGGTTCGAGTCCCCACATTGGTATAATCTGTGAAGCCCATTACTGGTGTCCCCCGCCATGATATAGCTGGAATATTGCTAAAAGCGGTGTAAAACTAAACTCACTCACTCACTCTAATGCAGGACACATCAACTATGTGTATATCTTTCATGATACGACTACAAATCATAAAATTAAAAAGCAGGACTGTCAATATAATAACAAACTGTAAACTACATCCATAAATAACGTCTACATCAACATAAGTTACAGTTCTTCCTCCGCCTCATAAATTCAGTATTGAATGAACACATGGTGATGACAACGCTGACAGAAAAGTACATAAATCATGCATTATGATGAGCGTTAATACAGTGTTTAAAAGTACACTTAAGGTGATAATGGCATGGTTAAAATCACAATGGCAAAGTCTAAAATATCTTCCTGGACCTTGAATGGTTCACTGAGAAATGGAATTTTCCTGACAACAATACTGACAATGTATGAAACCAGTGACATTCGTACAATAGCCAAAGGAAATCTAAGGACATCTAATTCTTTAATCATTATAGTAACTTTGTCATGGCATGGCAGGTACCCTTGAGTAAGGTGACCTCCCAAAAGTTAGACTTCCCAAAACTTAGACGAGTTAAAACAACAAAGGTTATGGTTGGTTGCACTGAGGTTCACTACACTGTTACCTTCGTTAATTAATGGACTACTCCAAATATACTAATCCAAACACAAAGAGAAGCTATTAGGATAATGACAATGACTTTATTTGACATGAAACAAAACAATTTGATTGTATTTTTGTTAATATGTTACTTTACAACCAACCTATGTTTAAAAACATAATTATTAAGTGAATAATGATGAACATAATAAAAGATGAACACCATCTCGTTAGTGTATGGGGCAGGTTCATTATATGAGTGGGTAAGACTAGGTTGTAATCACGTCTGACTTTTGGGACGTCTAACTTTTGGGAGTAAACCTTGAGTAATTATAAACTTACCTGGGGATTTCAAAAGGGAATTATCAATGTCAATGAGAAGAGAGGGGAAAATGTTATATACTTAGTAACAACTGTCTTGCCTTGGTGTAGTTTGAAGATGGATGTCAAAAGAATTTGTGTTGGCACCTTAAACTCTGACGTGCACATCTGAAAAATCTTAATGAGTGTCCCATGACCCTCTTGAAAACTTCGGTATTTCAATCAGTGCAATACAAGTGCAACTCTCACACTATCCCACCTCTCACAAGGTACAATGTCAACGACGGGGCTCAATGTGAGAGTGTTTGATTTGTGGGTTTAACCCAGTATAACTGACATCTTTATCACTTCCTGACATGAACAACCACTATGTGTCACTCAGATATGACTGTGCAATTGATATTTTTCACAATAAACTTTCTCAAATACACAGAC